AGATAACTAGAATAGGCAAATTCATGCAACAGAAAGCAGAAGAGTGGTTACCAAGGACTGGGGAAAGGAAAGGATGGTAGTCACTGTTCAATGAATACAATTTCAGTTTGGGAGGATAAGAAAGTTCTGGAGATGGATGGAGCTGATGATTGCATGACAATGAGAAGTGCTTATTGCCACTGAACTAACTATACACTTTAAAATGGCTTAAATGGTACATTTTGTTATGTATATGATGCCACAATAAAAATATTTTAATGTAATCTCAAATTATCAACCATTTGTGTTGGAGGTGACTATTCCCCTTCTATCTAGTTTCTTCAGTTGGTTGGGAGTGAGGAACTGACAGAAGTCCTCAGAGATTTAAATCTGCTTTTAAATCCACTGAGAAGTTACAACAGAGGCACCAGGGCATAAAAAAATGACTCAGAAAACAATTCTGGGAAGCAATACGTCAGCTGCTGTTATGGCCATTATGTAAAATACTTCTGCTTTTGCTCTGATCTTATTTCTATCACCTTGAATAAATCTCATTAGAAACTTTTAGGCATTAGTAATCACTTTCAACAGTTAACTGGAACCGATGTACATTTTGAAGTCAAAACAAGTCAAGCTTTTAGCTTTTATATGGGTCATGAGCTATACCTAAAAATGTATATACAATCTAAATTTAACAATTTAATTTCATGCAAGTGTCTTAAAATGAACAGTTGCTCCATTTTGAAATCTCCAGATATAGACTTAGCCTGTGAAATGATTTTCAGTTCATCAGAAAAGCTTCTCGGGTGATTCTAACATGCGACCTGGGCTGTGATTCACTGACTTAAATGAAACTTATCTAGAAGACAAGTTCACCCTGCCCTGAAAGTGTGGGAGGGAGTGAAATGTACAGTGACCCAACCAACAGTATACAGGCATGATAATGTCACCAAACCATAAGGTGACCTGAGAATCCTAACATTTTGAGGTGGGAAGGCACAAGATCATCTAGAGTAGTCAGCGGTTCTCCAAGTGTGATCCCTGAACCAGCAGTATCAATATTAGCTGCAAACCCTGAGTCTGAGGTATTCTGCCATCGTACATTCTTGCAGCTATCATTTTTTTAAAATGGCAAGAGTCAACAAAGGCTAAAAGTGGATCTGCCATATGACCTAGCAATACCACTCCTAGGTTATCTACCCAAAGGATATGAAAACACTAATGCGAAAGGAAACCTGCACGCCTAATGTTTATAACACTATTTACAATAACGAAGATACAGAAACAACCTAAATGCCCCAGTACAGATGCATGGTCAAGAAGATGTGGTACATATACACAATGGAATACTACTTAGCGATCAAAAAAGATAAACTCATGCCATTTGGCAGCATGGATGGAGCTGGAAGAAATTATGCAAAGCAAAATAAGTCAGAAGGAAATACCAGATGGTGTCACTTATATATGGAGTATAGAGAAACCAAACAAAGGATCAGACAAAGACAAATTTTAAAACTGACCCTTAAAAGCTGACCACAGGGCCTCCGTGGTGGTGCAAGGGGTTAAGCACAGCACTATGAAGCTAGGAAGCTACCCACAGTCTCTGCAGCACGAGTTCGATCCCCCACCAGGGAGCTACCCACATGGCACAGCAGACCTCTCCTGACTTGCCTGCTGCTCCCCTCAGCAGTGTATTAGATTCATTCTGCCTCTTCTGTGCCCCACTTTATCTCTGGTGAATCCTCTCACCACCCTCTACTCCTCTGGCCTATACCCCCAGTTCTTGTATGCATAAATAAACAAATCTTTAAAAATAATAATAAAAAAATAAAAAATAAAAGCTGACCATAGATCTGAGGCACTATGGAGGGGAGAGAAGGGGAGGATGTAAAATAATGGTACATCATGAATTAATGTTGTAGCATTCGTTATCTATAATAATGGGAAACCAGAAACAATCTAAGTGTATAACAAAAGAGGAATGGCTAAGTCAAATAGGTCATTTGTACAATATAATATAATACAATAGCAAAGGGCCTCCCCGGTGGCGCAGTGGTTGAGCGCTGGGTTGCAAAGCTGCACGCAGCCTCTGTGGCGCTGGTTCGATCCCCGGCTGCTCCCCGGCCACTGGAGGAGGGTCCCACGTGGCGCGCAGACCTCTCCTGCCGCCCACTGCTCCCCTCAGCAGTGTACTTCGGTCCTTCTGCCTGCTCTGCTCCCCGCTCTGGCTCTGGTGAATTCTCTCACCCTCCCACGCTTCTGACTGTACCCAGTGCATGTATAAACAAACAAACAAACAAGCAAACAAATAAATAAATAAACATGCCTCTATAAAAAAAAAAATAAAAAAAAAAAATACAATAGCAAAATTACTCTAGGGGAAATATTAAATGACATGGAAAGAAGTCAAGACATTTACAATATGGGAAATGAAACTGATGATTACAAAATAACTTTTTGCCAAAAAATTCCTACAGATACAACAAATATTTCCACCCACATGTTCATTGCACTATTCTTTACAATACACAAGATATGGAAACAGGACTCTGTGGTACTATCTCTCTCACACACACACACATACACACACACATACTGGGCTACTACTCAGTCATATAAAAGAGAACAAAATCTTGCCATTTATGACAAAATGGATGGACTTTGACAGCATTATGCTAAGTGTTATAAGGCAGACAGAAAAGCATAAATACCATGTAATCTCACAAGCCAACCAAGCCCATGCATATAGATTGACGGTTGCCAGAGACAGGGGCTGAGGGTTTGCAAAGTGAGTAAAGGTGGTCAAAGGTACATACCTCAGTCTCCAAAATTAATGCAGTCCTATTGACATCTTCATTTTAGACTTCTGACTCTAGAACTACAAGAGAATAAATCTGTGTTGTTTTAAGCAACTAAAAAGTTACAAGGTACAAATATGATATTCTAGCTTCTAAGAATTACCAAAACTTAAAGGGGAGCCTAAGTACTCAGTCCATGATAACGATGAATTACAGAGAGAACAACCACACATCCCATCTGCCCTGTCAGTTGGTGCTGGTGCACCTGTTTCCCAGTATTATTACTAGTAGAGGCCTCCTTCACCCCCCACTGTCACAGAGCTGATGATGAATTACATAGTCACCTACGCTAAAAGCCTCCTTACCAGGAAGGCACTTTTGCCTAGAAAGATAAAATGTGGAAAGAATTTTCATTTAGCTCTAAGAACTTACACTTACCATCCTGACTACAGATACAAAAGAATTAAATGAAAACAAATGTTTTAGTGTTTTCTAGGACTTTTTGTCAAAATAAGACTATAGCATAGGGCCTCCCGGTGGCGCAGCGGTTGAGCGCTGGGTTGCGAAGCTGCCCGCAGCCCTGCGGCGCCGGTTCGATCCCCGGCTGCTCCCCGGCCACCGGAGGAGGGTCCCACATGGCGCGCAGACCTCTCCTGCCGCCCGCTGCTCCCCTCAGCAGTGTACTTCGGTCCTTCTGCCTGCTCTGCTCCCGCTCTGGCTCTGGTGGATTCTCTCACCCTCCCACGCTTCTGACTGTACCCAGTGCATGTATAAATAAATAAATAAATCTTTAAAAAAAAAAAAAAAAGACTATAGCATAATCAACTATTACTTGCATTTAAATTTGTAACATTTTTAAAGAAATGACAAAAATGACAGGAGGCCATGATTATCTAGTTCATTTTCTTGCTGTTTTTCTTCATACTGAATTTCAAACCATTCATTAAAAGGTCAGTATAGAATTGGCTTGGACCACAACAGTCAGCATTCATTCCTCCAGGTTATCAGTGCATTTCAGAACTATCAAGACTATGTTACCACCCCCTAAAAAAGTCTTTAATGAAATAATTCAAGAACTTGCTACCACGCATATGAAGTCCATATCTGGCCTCTCTCTAGTCATGCTTTGCCTATAATAAGCACATTTGACATATGACCAATTTTTCACTTGTACATTCAACAGCAGTACCTTCTGCCAATGTTGAAAATATAATCTTATTCTGACAAATTTTAATTTCAAAACATTTTTCTTGAAAACTGAAAAATAGAAATAATTTTGTCTCATCTTCATTCTTTAAGTGCTAATTTAGAAGGACTAATTTAAAGGGGCTAATTTAGAAACTAAATAGCTTATGTTTCTTAAAATTCTAAGTTACTCATGTTATCCTGGCTGAGATTCATAATTATAATAGATTTTTTGGTAAAAAAAAAATATTCTCACTACAAAAAAATATAGCTATTTGCGGTGATGAACACGTTAAATAACCATATCACTATATATATATATATATATCTCAAATATCTGCATGGTGTAACTTAAATTTATACAATGTCACATGCCCATCATATTTCAATAAATCTGTATGGAAACAAAAAGTCTGCCTATATTGGTAAAGTATAAATATTTTTAATAAGACAAAGTATATAAAATAATCTAGCTTAGGTGTGGTTTTAGTGATGATTGTGACCTTCCTAAATAACAAAAGTTAAGATACATCCATGAATCTTTGACTTGCTCAGAGTTCCTGCTAAGAAAATATCTAGTCTTAAAAATCATTTGGGGCCTCCCCTGGTGGCGCAGTGCTTGAGCACTGGGCTGCGAAGCTGCCCGCAGCCTCTGCAGCGCCGGTTCGATCCCCGGCCACCAGCGAGGGTACCACATGGCGCACAGACCTCTCCTATGGCGCCTGCTTCTCCCTTCAGCAGTGTGTTTCCATCAGTCTGCCTGTTCTGTTCCCTGCTCTGGCTCTGGTGAATTCTCTCACCCCCCCCCCCCCACCAACCCGCGCTTCTGACTGTACCCAGTGCTTGGATAAATAAATAAATCTTTAAAAAAAAATCATTTTGTTTTGTCATGAATACAAATTTTAACTGACAGTTTAATGTGTTTAAATGCTTACAACTTACCTTTCAATTGTAATCTTCTATGTGTACACATCTCAAAAAACTGACTCCCTAATATACAAATGCAGCCTTAACTAAACATCATGCACAAATGTTTGTAATATTAATTTTATTAGGAAATCATCTGATAGTTGTATTTGATTATATCATGAATCACTTATTTTAAAACTACATGGCCTGAGGATATCAATTACAATATGCATTTTTTTCATTCACTCAACAAAGCTTTGAGCACCTAAAATTGCCAAGCTTTGGAGATACAGGGTAAACAGGAGGACCCCTGCTCTCATGGAGCGTACATTCTTCAGGAGGGAGGAAATATTAAAGAAATGTGTACAGTAAAGTGATGACTATGTGACAGACGAAGTAGATGGCAATTTGTAACAGCGCACAGTAGTGTCTAATCCAGTTCAGGGAAGTCAGAGACACAAAAAGCTAAGTGTTTTAAGAAATAGGAAGAGCTATAGAGTTTAGGCAGAGGGTGATGGCAGCCCTCAGGTGGGAAAGTCATAGTAGGTTCTAGGAACTCAAATAAATCTAGAATAATTGAGCATGGCATATGAGAAGAAGAGGCTGGAGGTCAAGATCCTGGAGGGCACAGGGGCTGGGTTCTTCCATAAGGAAACATTTTTAAATGTTTAAAAGATTTCAACAAGAGAAGAGCATAGCCAGATGTGCACTTTAGGAAGGTAATCTTAATTCCAGAGTGATGGACAGACTGAACTAGGTGACACTAAGGCCCGAAAGACAAAAATAGTGAGGGAATTTAAGAATAGGAAGCAAAATCAACAGAATTGATGACTGAACTTAAAATTCCTGTTAGACAAGCCATGCAGACCCTCAGTAGACATGTCACACACGCAGGCCTGGGGCTCAGGGGAGAACGTTGTTAGGAACTGTCAGTACAAGAATCACCTGCCTTCCAGCAACTGAAGCCAGAAAGGCTGAAATGGCCCAACAGGAATAAACCAGGCCATGAGAAACACACACATTCAAGAATGTGCTGTGCCAGGGCTGGGGGCGGGGAGGACTATGGGGTATTCAGTGGGTACAAGTTTCAGGGTGGGATGAAGAAAAGTTCTGCAGATGGAGGGTGGTAATAGCTGCACAGAAGTGAGAATGTGTCTACTTAATGACCAGAACTGTACAATTAGAGTGGTGAAAATGGCAAATTCTATTACATATATTTTGCCACAATTTAAACAAATGAAGAAATACTTTTGTTATTTGGATCTCCTAGAATGAGAATGTATTCATGAATTACTAATGAAAACTCAGGACAAATGGTGAAGGGGTGGTGGGAGACAGGGGTCAGTGGAGGCATAGGGACCTGCAAAGTAGCAGCATAAGAATGGCTTGAGAAGTCGGTAAAAAACCTGAGGGGTCAGAGCACGGACACGAAGCACAGCATTTCTAGGAAGAAATGTTGGAGTGATTAGAATGCTGCAGAGTTAAGTCAGATAAACTCAGCAAAGAAACCCACAGCAACATGGAGGTCAGTGGTAACCTTGGAGAGGGCTGTTGTCAAGGGTTTGGGTGAGCAGAGAATGGGTAGGACATAGAACCATCATGCAGACAATGAAACACCTGACTATTACAGGAGAGAACATGATAGTGGCTTCAGGGAAAAATAATACTTTAAAAAATTACCGTGTTGAAATATCATTGTGTAGAATCAGCAAAGCAATCATTTCAATAGAAATACAATTTTATATTTTCATAACCTCAGTAATACCTGGAATTTACAAGGTAGTAAAGCTGAGCCACACAAAAAATAATTTTCTGAGAAAATCTCCAAAGAATTGAGGTTTACCAAATAAATATCTTCACTGATTTTTTTTTTCCATTAGGAAAGTACAATGTATCATGTTGAGGAAACAATTTTACTGTAACAACTACATGTTGAAAAGTCTAAAATCTTAAGGCTACTCATGTATTAATTTTGGGCACATGGCCAGTGAAAGACGCTTGCTATTCCAGTTACATCCTCAAGATGCCAAAGTTGGTCTTCTGGATTGGTGCATTGAGGGCAGCACTAAGACTGAGACCCAGGACCATTCTGGTTTCTGCTGGATCAATAATCCCATCATCCCACAGCCTGAGAAAAGAACAAAAGGAGTTATTAGCACTCTACCACCAAACTATCATTTGTATGCCATTATACAGTCCATGGCCAGAAATCCCCAAGAAGTTTTTCCTCAGGCAATACATGGATCTACCTATGAGAATCTGCGTCCTATAATCTCACAACAGAGACCATGTTCACATTTAACAAAAAGTGAAGGAAAATTGTCATGACTTTAATCCCAGATCCCCACAGAGCGTTTTATGAAGAAGCTATGGCTTCAGAAATTGCTTATTATAACAAACATCAAAAAACCCCAGATTTTAAAACTTTTACTTATTTCAAGAAAAACTTCCCTGTTTTCTTCTGCCCACACAAACATACAAATCAAGTTGAAGTATTCCAGTTAAAATATGGACAACCACATAAATCCAAGTAACAGCCTCAAACCAAAGTCCCTACTAAAAAAGGATATTCTCCCCAAATTCTTAAGCTGACAAATAATGACTAGTCTCCATTTTATTAATAAAATATATTCATATGTAATTCTTAACTTTTGCTGCAATAGGAAATACAACTAATAGCTTTAATCTGCTTTCAGAAGAAATTTTTAAGTAAAATTTTAGTTTGCATTAACAACATCAACATTTTAAAGCAAAATGAATGAGAAATAGCGCTTCTTAAAGGTTGTTAATACATGGCAATTTTACTTTCTTTAAACAAACTGCCTTCAGGATCTAGACACAGCATCAATTATTAAAACATGCTTTCATCAACAGGCCATGAATCAAATCCTTGCTCATAAAACATTCATAGGTGGGCCCTGAACTATCAGCAGCTAATAATAAAAGGCCACTCTGGTCGTTTGTAACCCGGTCAATTGATCAGACTCCATCCAGAAACCATCAGCTGAGGAACACCACAGGCAAGATGATGCTGGGGCCGCTTCACTCACCATCAGATCAAAGGTGGCTCCAGGTGCAAGGCCCTGATCAAATGCCTGATAAAAGTCTGATTATAAAAAGAACTAAGCATAGAAAACTGGTGCGCTGCCCACAGAACTTGTAAGGAAAGACATGGGAAATTATAGTAACAGATGATGACCCAAATCTAGAAAAAGACAGATCCAGCCAGGTTGAAGTCTAAATAGACCACAGAATTCAACTGTAAGCTGAGATTTGCTAAATCCAAGGGAGGTGTCATAAACTGGCTTGAAAATTCTTTAATATTTGAAAGAAAGTTGCTGTCTCCAAGTCACCGTCTGTTTTAACAGAAGGGTTAGAATTTTATAGATTAACAGAAAAACCATACTGTTTTTCAACTTTTATTTCCAGAGATAAGTCTATCTGAGTCATTTGCACTCCTGCATTGCCTATAATCTATTTAAATAATAATAATTTAACTATAAAAATAGCAAAGGATTTCAGTCTTTCTCAGTATATGACTTATCTCAACTAGGGTTGAAAAACAAACTAATGGCTCACTCAAAATATGCTATTTTTCAAAGTTTAATATTTCAACTGTCCTGATGAATTTCAATCAAAATCTTATATATTAAAAAAAAAAAAACTGTAGTTGAGTCACAATATACACTTTCTCTTACTTTTCATATGGTTTTGTATTTCCTTTTTGTGTCTGCTAGCTACAATATGTCTCAGTGATGGTTAAAGAACATGTATCTCAAATCAAAATCTTTAAAATGCTTTTTCTTAATTAAGTAATCAATGACCTATCACAGTAAAATATACCTAGTATATTTGTTTGGAAAAATGCATATTTAACAAAAAGAGAAACAGGCATTTAAAAAATCCTGAGGGTATCATTTAAATTCTGAAACTAATTATGCTCTTGAAAATAAGTATATTCAAGTCTTTATGCCCCCAGTACTAAGAGCAGCGCCTGCCACAAAAACTGTTCAAGTGATGGAAATGGATTCTAACTTCTGATTTTCTCCAGTTTGCCATCACCAGTCAATGGCATAAATCACTGCATAACTTAATTTTAAAAGACACAAATAGTTATTTTCTTTTTTCTCTCTGCCCAAGGGATAAAAGGAAGACATGAAGCTTAGATTACTCTTCAGAATGCAGAACATTAAAGTTGTTGGTAGAAAACAATGGTCTGAAAGCACATGCCAACAAGTCTCCAGCTGGGACAGGTCTGGAAAATTTATTACCTCATTAAATGGCATAAGAAGCAAACAGAATCAAGATTTGTGATGGTGTGTGAGGTAATTACTTGGCATTGACACATGGGCCTTGGCTGTGACTGATCACCTTCTGAACACACGAATATACTTGTTAGCAAGTGCCAGTAAGTGTTCAACCCATCTCATGCTTAGAGTGAGATAAAAACAAAATATCAGAGAGGGCTATCACCAGAATCTATGTGTTTAAGCAAAACTTAGAACTAATTCCTAAAAGAGACATAGCCAGGATTTTAACTCCTAACTTCCCAGCCCCACTGGGGTTCAACCTCCAGCTGCAGGGTCCCTGCAGCCCCAGTCTTCAGATAGAGGTGGGATAAGAGAAGAAGGGGAGTGGGTGGCAGAATCAGACCAGTGGGGTAGATCCCCAGTCCAGCCTGGGAGAAGGGCATTTCAGCAGCAGGCATTCCCATTACAGACACAGTACAAAATCAAGTATGCCCAAACATTGCTTATTAGTTGCCACAGGCTGGGCCATTCCCACTGCTTAGATCTCCCTAGAGCTGCTGCCTTGTCTGCCCAGATGCAGCCATCAGGGATTCTGGCTCCCACCTTGCACTGGAATAGTAAGGGTTTCCTTCCTCTTCAAATCTCTTGATGATGGGTTCCTTTAAAGCAGCTTCTTCAGCACTGGAGAACTGAAAGAAAAGGGATCCTGAGTAAATCAGTTCCATGGAACAACAGAGCCACTCAAGAGAAGATCAAGAAAAATGTGGCAACAGGGGCCTCCCTGGTGGCAAAAGGGGTTGAGACACAGCACTATGAAGCTGTCCACACCACCGCAGCATGAGTTCAATCCCCAGCCAGGGAGCTGACCCACATGGTGCAGCAGACCTCTTCTGTCCCGCCCACTGCTCCCCTCAGCAGTGTATTTCAGTAGATCTGTCTGTTCTACTACCCACTCTGTCTCTGGTGAATCCTCTCACCATTCCCCCCTCTCCCTGCATCTCTGGCCAGCACCCCAGCTCTTGTATGCATAAAGAAATAAATCTTTAGGGCCTCCCCAGTGGCGCAGTAGTTGAGCGCTGGGTTGTGAAGCTGCCCTCAGCCTCTGCAGCGCTGGTGTGATCCCCGGTGGCCGGGTGAGGGTCCACATGGGGCACAGACCTCTCCTGCTGCCCACTGCTCCCCTCAGCATTGTACTTTGGTTCTTCTGCCTGTTCTGCTCCCTGCTCTGCCTCTGGTGAATTCTTTCAACCTCCCATGCTTCTGACTGTACCCAGTGCTTGTAAAAATAAATAAATAAATCTTAAAAAAAAAGAAATCTTTAAAAAAAAAAAAAAAGAAAAGAAAAGCGTGGCAACAGAATTCATGGTTTATAATGCTACAACCCACATTCACCCAGATTACAAGCAATATGTTAACACACATGATCTCAACTGAGACATCAGTATCAAGTGAGTGCACCATCCCATTTCCCTTATCAGAGACAACATCCAGAGGCCATTTGATGTAAGGTCAAAGCTAAGAACATCACCTATCATTGTATTCCAGCAGAATACAACTGTAGGGGTGAATTCTACTACATAACAAAAGGGGCACATTGGATTTAGCAGCTTCTGTTTAAAAAGGTGGAGAAATTAGGGGATTTTTGTTCAAAACAGCCAATATTGAAAAGAAATTGTACCTTAGAGGGGTAAAACATCAATCACACCTTGAACAACCTCTTTTGAAAATTCCCATATAGTGGAAAGATATTTTCATTAGTTAAAAACTTTAATAGTTTGTTCATCAGATTTGCCAGAAATAGGTGATAATTCAAATGTAAAAATCTTCATGCACACTAATTTTGAACGCCCAAAAAGCATTTTCCATTGAGTATATTTTACACCAAAAAAAAAAAAAAATGAATTTCAAACAAATCCAATCTTCTTTTATGTACTTTAGTGGTTTATATAATTTATAAATTAAGAACTCTAAGGGAAAATCATTAAAAGCTTATACTTTTCTTCCATATATAAAAATAGATGAATTATATATCTGCTTATCAAGTTAATCAGAGAACAACTATTCAATAAGAGATCACCATGCTGGGCTAGTTTAGGTAGACCATCTGGTGGATACTTGGTAGAATGTCATTTTATGCTCCCTCACTCCCTCTCCACACACACAGTAAGTAAAGCTTAGTGTTTGCTTTGATGTTAGTGCTAACACGAATCTGATACGTTAAGTCTGCAGAATTCCTCTGCTTAGAAAAGACGAACAGAGATGTGAGGCGTGGGTGGATGCATTCAGGGCCAGGGACAATCTCTGGTTTTATATTATCCCCACTCCACAAATGAGGACGTTGACCAGTTGATCCCTGAATGGCAGGACTGAGAATCTGAGAAGGCAGGGCGCCCTGCATTTTATACTCTGTTATGACGAAACAGTGTTCTTCATCAATTTCAGGAAGATGCCTCAATCATTTTAATGCTTGGTGCTTACACAAAATATTATACTTAAGTTATAATTAACAAAAATCAGTGCAAAATTTCAGAAGACTCCAATGGAGACACAAACAAAAGAATCCATGTTAAAAGCAACCACTTGCTGATTTGCCTTTCATCAGCTTCCAGTGCCCTGTTTTTCGTCCTTTACTCTTTCACAGTATAATAACGCCACTTCTTGTCAGATGACTGAGCCCTCCCACTCAAGGTATCCTTAACCATTTAAAAGTAAAGCTGAAAAAACAACTGGGTGCTTTGCTCTGAAATCAAATAAGTAAATCAGATTTATTTAAATCTCACTAACTGTACATGACTAAGAATCAAACATCTGTATGCCACTGGCACTCATAGGCTGAGTTTCTGAAGTATTTTCTTGAAAATTGTAAATTACCACAAAGAAGACACCTTAAAGGAAGTGGCTCTAAAAAAGAGAGAGAAAATGTGCAAGTCTAAATAGCTGAAACGGCTTCCAAGTTAGCATCCTCTAAATAGAGGCAGACCCTACGTGTTGAACCCCCTCCTAACACCACTCCCAAGCCTGGAACATGAGGGATACTTGGCGCTCTGTTTCCTGCCTCCAGGAGGTTCCTTGGTGCAAGCCAAATCCAGAGACGGGGAGGAGAGGGAATTTACCTGTTTCCCTTCCCTTGCTCTTTGGTCCCTTGCTACTGTGGACAGCACATTGGCTGCCTGCTCTCCTCCCATCACGGAGATCCGAGCATTTGGCCACATGTAGAGAAATCTTGGGCTGGGGGAAGAATGATTAAATTAGTTCACTGTGCAATATAGATATTCCTAGAGGCTCATGTTTATCTTTTAAATTAGTGGTTTTGATTGTAGCTGCATATTATAATCATCTGGGGATTACCAAAAAATACCAAAGCTTGGAACCCACCCCAGACAAATTTCCAGTCGTGGGACTGACATGTGGTAGGGTTTTTAAGTTCTCCAGGTAAGTCTGGCATCTATGTTGGTAAATTGTATTTTTCCATCTCATCTAATTTGCGGGGTATAAAAGTATTCATAATACCCTCATAATACCCTCATGTCCTGGCTTCCATTTCTGACATTGGTTATATATGCCTTCTCTCTTTAGTTTTACCAAAGGATTATCAAGTTTGGTTTCATTTTCACTCAACTCTGGGCTTCAGTGATTCTTCTTTACTTTCTTTGCTCTTCACTACATCCTGCATTCTATTTTTCTTGTGTCTAATATGCTGCCTTCTTTGAACTTCTTGAGCTGGTTGCTTGGCTGGCTGATTTTCAGACTTAACTTCTATTCTATTCTATTCTATTTAAGTTTATACGCTTCTCTCAAAGCAAGACTAGCCACATTGTACGTGCTAGGATTGGTAGTATTTTCAGTATCAGCTATCTCAAAATATTTCTGATTCTCATTGGAATTTCTTCCCTTTAGCATTAAATTTAACTTCACCACTCCTAATAATACAAATTATGGTATAATTGATCAAGATTTGTGAATACCGGGCCTCCCTGGTGGCACAGGCTGTTGAGCACAGCACTGTGAAGCTGTCCACAGCCTCTGCAGTGCCGGTTCGATCCTGGGCGGCCTGGGAGATACCCATATGGTGCGGCAGACCTCTCCTGTCTTGCCCACTACTCCCCTCAGCAGTGTATTTCACTCTGTTCTGTTCCCTGCTGTGTCTTTGGTGAATCCTCTCACCCTCCCGCACATGTGGCCTGTACCCCGGTTCTTGTTGGAAAAAAAAAGATTTGTGAATACCATTCTATATTCAAGTAAATCTGAAATAAACTGATGATTATAATTATACTTGACATATGATTCTCTCAAAGAAAATCATGACAACCACGTACCTATAGGCTCTACCACACATCCCATAGTTGCCTGCCCCATAGGACCCCCCAATGATGACAGTTATCTTGGGCACGTTGGCACAGGCTACTGCAGCCACCATCTTGGCTCCATCCTTGGCAATTCCTTCAGCTTCATACTCTCTACCAACCATAAATCCTGAGAGAAAGAACAAGAACAGTGTCTATGGGTGATGGGATTCATGTGCAGAAGTCAGTTCCAACAAGGTATTAGAAGGACCACTCTTCAAATCCTCACTGCCCCTTACCCCACCCCCACTTCTCTATTCCCTGTAAGTGATTTTGTATTCAAAAAGAACACCGAGGCCATGCTGCCTGATTTTCTTCAATCCTTCCCCTTCCTCCCATAAACAAAACAAAACAGAACAATATGATCATACTTCCTTAATTCCTTTACTCTCATCTCTGTGGAAGAAACAGAATAACCCAAAGATTATCCCTGAGACCTCTTCTCTCAGTGTTCTTATCGATCTCCATGATTTTCTATGCCCTATCCATATTCTGATGATACCTACCTATTCACCTCTAGCTAACACACATTTTATCTTCTGTGCTCAAAATTTACTCACCTACCCACTATATATCTTCAAGTGAATATTGGACATGCTCCCCAAATGTAATGTTGCAAACCAAATTCAATCTCTACTCTTCTGCCCCCAAACCCAGTCAAGACAGTTAACAAAACCAAAATGTAGGAATCTCCCAAGTACAAGGTTTAACTTACTGGCAGCTAAAAAATCATGAATCATTATTAGAAAGCCTAGTGAAGCTTCAGAATCCTTCTTATCTGCTCTTTTACAAGGTTTACACATAGGATCCTCTCAGGTCACAATCTGGACATAACTCCTCTCTAAATGCATTTAACCAAATATCTCAAAGTTAGGGGTACCACCAGATGAAGATTTCTAGAAAAAAAGAACTCCAGAACCAAAAGAGACTTTCAAAATCATTTCATCTGCCATTTGAAGATTATCTATAGAACATGAAATCCAAAGAGATGTCCTTTAAGGGGAGCAAAGTACTGGGAAGGAGACACTCATCAGACAATACCCTGGAACAGTGACCAGAGGATGTGACTGGTCACTGGTCACAGGAAGTGCTGCCGTCTGGTTGTATAGGCATGCACGGGAAGGAGCAAAGGGGGCCATCTGAATGTTTGTGATGCATGTAACTCAGAAATTACCTCATACAGAACATATGGATAAACTCCACCAAATATTTAAGAGTCATAAAGCATTAACCTTTAAAGAAAGGGCCTCTCCAGTGGTGCAGTGGGTTGAGAGCAGCACTGTGAAGCTGTCTGCAGCCTCTGCAGCGTGGGTTTGATCCCGGCCAGCTAGAGAGATACCCACATGGCGCAGCAGACCTCTCCTGTCTCGGTCACTGCTCCCCTCAGCAGTGTATTTCACTAGTCTGCCTGTTCTGTTCCCTGCTCTGTCTCTGGTGAGTCCTCTCACCCTCCCGCGCCTCTGGCCTGTACCTCAGCTCTTGTATAAATAAATAAAATCTTTAAAAAAAAACAACCTTTAAAGATAGAAAGAACACATCCTATACAACTTTTCTGCCAGCATGGAAGGGTTCTATATCTGCACTGTCCAATGTATGAGCCATATTGGATAGTGTAGTTCTGGAATAAATGCAACCAAAGCAATCAAGCTATTTCCTTACCGGTAATGTTTTGAAGGAAGAGCAGAGGAATATTCCTCTGGCAGCATAACTGGACGAAGTGAGCCCCTAAAAGCAAATAAGATAAAAAATCTTTCTAAAGAAGAGTGAACAAATCTGCAATGGTCATGCATCCTACAACCCCACACCAGAGTCAAAGATAATACAGAGTGCTCTTTGCTTGGCTAGTCTGACTCATAGTAACAGTAACAGCAGGACTTGAGTGCTGACTGTATCAAGAGGACCTCTGGCTCTTCTGTACAGTGCTTTTGCACCGTCTCCTGTGTGGTCACTGGCCCACGTTGCAGGCCAACTGCTGGGTCAGTGATGAAGTCAATCACTAACATTCAAATAGCAAGCAAAACTTAAGTAATAGAAAACAGAACTGCTCGTTAAAGAGATTTCCTAAACCTTACTGGAAGAGAATTCTGTAATTCTCCTCTTAAAAAAAGAATCTAAACACTTCTTGGACATTTACATTTTGATGATGATCTGATATTCTTTCTTGCACCAAGGTGATAATAAAATAAATCCTTCTCACAACACATCCAAATAGAAAGGAGTTTGGATGAGTGCTAGACACCTTCTAACCTTGATCTTAGGAAATTACTTAATGACATAAAAATATAACTATTCCTTGTCTGATCTTTTAGAGATTATAAAGTCTTATAAACTACCTCCTTTTATATTTTACTCTCTATTTGCAGATCCCTTTAACTTCCGGAAATGCCTTGGCAAGTACAAAATCACAGTGATTGCTCGTCCTCAAATACAAGAATGAGGAAATCACATAGTCCTTTGGGGCTTACTTCAACAAATTAACTGTCAGGCTGAAGCCAACATAACTCCTCCTGGGCTTAATTGTGCCAACCAACAAATGCAACAAGATGGCGTTTGGCCTCAGTCTGACATTTGCTCTGTTGAAATATTATATATTCATTAAGTCAGTATTTCAGGAATACTTCGCATTTTAAGAAACATTCACTACATATACTATTAAAGGAAAACAAGCAAAACCTCTACGTATATGGCATCATCAATTTTGTTTAAAAAAATAGAAAAGCTAAGGAACCATAACAACCACAACCAAAATAAAACATTACTAACAGTTATTTCTGGTAAGAATGTGGGTGATTTTTCTTCTTTTTTCTTTTTTACTTACTGCTTTTTCACTTACTGCTATTCTGAATATCAAAATATAGAAACTGACTTAATTGGTAAAAACATTCCACCAAAGATGAGTTCTTCTTCCATTAGGGTATGAAAGAGCTAATTTCCTATTACCTATATTAATAAGAGACCCTTTATCTTATTTACTCTATCATTTCAAGAGGAAAAGTGGTTCTTAAGAAAATGCTTTTTCTTAAGAAAACATTATCAAGTAAGTGAATGAACTACATTTATCCAAGTTTAGGTAAATCTGAGATGATGTATAATACTGAGTACTAAGCCAAAAAGATATTTAAGAATTTGCTTTTAAAACCAGACTTTCAGGGCCTCCCCGGTGGCGCGGCGGTTGAGCGCTGGGTTGCGAAGCTGCCCGCAGCCTCTGCAGCGCCGGTTCAATCCCCGGCTGCTCCCCGGCCACTGGAGGAGGGTCCTGCATGACGCGCAGACCACTCCTGCCACCCGCTGCTCCTCTCAGCAGTGTACTTGGATCCTTCTGCCTGCTCTGCTCCCCGCTCTGGCTCTGGTGAATTCTCTCACCCTCCCGCACTTCTGACTATACCCAGTGCTTGTATAAATAAATAAAAATAAATCTTAAAACAAACAAACAAACAAATAAATAAATAAAACCAGACTTTCAGTAATTTGAAACTCATTATCTTCCCTGTTTCAAAAAGGAAAATAGAATCAAATGAAAACTATAATGGAGAAGAAGAGAAAAAACAAATCACCTCTCAGAGTCACCTGAATTCCTATGTCTGAATCCCTCAAATGCATGGAGCACTAGAGAATAAAACACTTTCAAGGGAAGAGTTCCTACAGTGTTTGAATATGTACGTGTCATACACAGCAGTTATAATTCAATTATCTTATAACAACTTTCCTAAAACAAACACCTGATTTTTAATAGTGCTCCAGATAGTTCATCATATTAACGCAAACCTCAATAAAAACTGTTTGAAACACTAACAAGCACAAACACACATGCTCACATGCACACATGCTCACATGTGCACACAGCGTTTTGGTTACTAAGGCATCTGGTTAAATATTTTAAAACTTTTATGTAATAAATTTTTATTCATTACCTGAGCTTTAAAGTTAGCTATGTTTTAAATTGAAACAGAAATTTTTGAAACATTTTTAATAGCACTTACCTTCTTTGAAGATTCAGAAAAGAGAACTCCATTATTTCCAATGATACCTACTGGATATCCAAATATTCTAGCAAATCCTTAAAGGAAAATTTTTAAAAAAGATTTAATTATTTCAGAAGATTTGATTCACAAAACAGAGACACTTAAACATTCTTTAAATTCAAATCAAAGTTTAAAATGTGGAGAGAGGCCTCCCTGGTGGCGCAAGGGATTAAGACACAACCTGTGAAGCTGTCTGCCGCCACTGCAGCACAAGTTCAATCCCTGGCCAGGGAGATACCCACATGGTGCAGCAGACCTCTCCTGACTCACCCACTGCTCCCCTCAGCAGTGTATTTCAGTCAATCCGCCTGTTCTGTTCCCCACTCTGTCTCTGGTTAATCCTCTCACCCCTCACCACTTCTGGACTGTATCCCAGTTCTTGCATGCATAAATAAACCTTTAAAAATAAATTAATTAATTAATAATAAAAATAAAAAATAAAATGTGGAGATTTTGTCTATGGTAGAGAACCACTCATGTCACAGTCTGAGTCTTTGAAAGAGTTGTGTTATATGTGAAATTGTCCAGCTAGTTGGTTTGGTTAAATGACTTAGTGTATTCATTCATTTTAACATATATCTGTGTGCCCACTGTACACCAGACCAAGGAGATCCTGAAGTCTAAGAGATCACAGATGCAGAGCCCTGTAATGGACAACAATCAGAGCTGAGGCCAGTTGCAGGTGACTAACTTGCCTAAAAATGCCTATGGTAATGACAGGTCCTTGAAATAAAAGGGATGAACTCAACACAGACCAATTTTTTTTTTTTATTTTATTTTTTTTTTTGTGGGACCCTCGGCGGCGCCAGGGAACAAACCGGCGCTGCAGAGGCTACGGGCAGCCTCAACCGCTGCACCACCAGGGAAGGCCCAACACAGGCCAATTTTTAATAAAAGCAGGAACAAAATCAAGCCTAGTAGTAACCAAGAAAGAAACCAGTTGGGTCTCAAGGAAGAATTAATCACTCCATTTTCATTCTCTCGGTCTTCATATTTTTTTCTTTCTCCTTTCCCTAAGTTTCATTATATCTCACCACTTCCATCACCACCCTCAGCACTCCCCATACACACAGACACACAGGTGAAATAAGAAAAAAGGGCAATGGGCTGTTTGTTCTTTGGCAAAGCAGACACTCCAGGTGACTTCAGGAGGCTAATTACTTTGGATGCCTGAAGAAATTCCCTAGAGACCTTCCCAGAGTGATTTTCAACAAACGTACTTATGACAATAGCATCTTTGGAACCCAAGAGTCAATAAACTTTGCTTATTAAAGTGGGTCAAAGAAAACTGCTTCCCACTTTCCTGCAACAAGGCCCTGTCTTCAAGGACAAGCTGGACAGGCATAGCCTATGTGGTGACTGACAGGCAGCAAGTAATCAAAAGTTGTTTTAAAAAAAATGGATAAGAGAGAATGTCAACCTACAATTAGCCAGAACACTAAATTCTTCACTCTGGCCTTCTCTTACTTTGTTATTATTTTCTAAACGGCTAATTTAGGGTGATAAAGTGAAACAATGACTTGACAGTCACCTAGATTTTTCTTGGTCTTTCAGACCTAAAATGCCAGCCCACACCTTTGCTGCATCTCCCAAATGGTCTAGCAAGGCAATCTGCATCCCAACCCACCACAAGGAACTGGGAATCCAGCCAATGTCCTCGCCCTCTTCATTCCCCCTCACCCTCTCCTTCCCCTCTTCTTTTCATTCCTCTTCCCTTTCCCCAACCTAACTTGTATTCCAGGACAATTAAGAAGAGACAGAGGAAAGGAGATCTACCCCTGGTATTCTAGGAGACAAAGATGCTGTTAGGGGGAAAAGGATGTCCTAAAGCTAATTCCATACAGGCTTTGTGGACTTCACCCCCATCCCAGGCCAAAGCCAAAGACACTGGAAATTCCAAATCCCATCACCACCAAAGAGAAGATGGCTGGGACCTGAGGGTGGGGTTAAGCAGCCAGGATGATATAAAGCCAGACATGTGGGCTTTTGGGGGGGGGTCCCCCATTTTGGCTCTCCACCAGCTCGCAGCATCAGGCCAGCTCTGAGAGTGCCTTTGGGTTTCCAGGTCGTGGGATCGGGTAGGACGCATTAAAGACTTTATTTCTCTATTTTCTCCCTGAGTTGTACATTTTCCTTATTTCCTTTTCCCTTGTAAATAAACCTTTTATTAACCTTTTGTGTGTGCCTGTAGTGGAGTATTCATAAGTCCCTTTTAAGCGCGCGGGTGAGGACCCACAGCCAGGCAACCCGTTCAATAGGGGCTGCCCTATAACAATGCCACAAGTCTTTTAGCATGTATATGTAACAGGGTGGTCCCCAGGAAAGGGGGAAGTTCCAGGTTCCCTGCCACACCCAAGGGAGGGAGGAGCTGAGCAGGGAGAGAAGAAGCTGCAGAAGAGACTGAGGAAGGAAGCAGGATGGAGCCAGGAGACCTGAAGGAGGCGCATGGAGCCTAGAGACACATGAAGAAACTGCGCTTGTCTTTTGGTGGTGGACTGGGTGACACAGATGTGGGTGAGACCCATGGGGAGGTGACAATGGCAGCTTTTATCTTGATGTTGATTTTGCTCTTTTCCTTCCGGGCTTGTCTGGTTGTTTCTGACCCTTTTCTGTGGGTCCCCACTGGAAGATGCTTTAGACTTGTGGCAGGCTTTGGGGCCTTGCTCTGGGCCATTCCCATTTGGATGGACTCTTACCCACGAGGGGAAGGGTAACTTTGGGTGCTTCATTTAGAAACTAGACTCTTTGCCTTTCCTGTATTGTTTCCTAGTTTTATTAAAGTTCTTTCCCATTAAAGTCTCATATGTTTTGTATTGATGCGGCGGATGGCAGAACCCTACATAGAATAGGCAGGTTTGCGGGGTTTGGACTACCCTTCTCCCTGCCCTATAACATATGGAGCAAATACATAAAAATAAATACTGAGGACAGCCCCATCCATCTTTGAGAAAGAAGCAGAAAAAGCTTTTACTTGTTTTAAGCTGCTACACAATGAGGGTTACATCCTCAACTACTGGGTGACAAATCCTGTCTATATATCAAACAAAAAGCTCTTAATCACTTAAACACCTCAAACAAAAACATAAATTCCAGTAGCAGAGTGAACCCTCTCTCACCCATAAATCAAGACCAAGTGTTGTGACTTATCCTGAAGTCTCAATGTGCACTGGCAATTTGGATGTCTGCAGCTAGTTTTTTCTCCTCTGATATGTTGTATTCATATTAACAACTACATGTTCCAGCCTTTGCAAGACCAAATAAAATTCACAAATTTTATGAGATTAGCATGAGCCTAGCGTCTATCTTTCAAATCCTTTTCTCCAAAGGTCTATAAAGTTAACACTTTAGATGAATGAATTAACTTTTATAAACAGCCTAATCTGATTCCTCGGACTTGGTATTCCATATTCTCTGCCTGGTATTTGCACGACATTAGGTCTGCCTTGAGGCTGTGAGAAGGGTTAATTCACTCTGCTTCCTTCTGGGAAAGTGAATCATCACAGAAAACTTCTAAGTCTCATTGGAGACGAAAGAACAAAGGAGACAGTGTGAAATTTTCAAAGTAATTAGCATTATCTAGAGAAACAGAGGGAACTACAAATACTTCTGCTAATTCTACTACAGTTAAGAATCTTTTTATAGCTAAAGCCACAAAGTCAAGGACAAGGGCCTATATCACAGCAAACAGTCATCATCATTTCAAATTCTCTGGATTCATGAGGCCATTCAACTACAAATGATCTTTACAAAACAGCTCCTTTTGAATACTGACTCACACATTTGTGCTGTTCTAAATAACAAAGCTTATGCCAAGAGTATCAAAGCCTTAAGAGACCACTTATTTTCAAAGCAACAGAAATCAGTCATATTTTCAATACTTCATCTTTATACCTGTAACTATTGTGTCTCCATACAAGGCTTTGAATTCACTGAATCTGCTTCCATCCACAATTCTAGCAATGACCTAAGAAGAAAAATAACAATGTTCCTGAGAAATCATACAACAAAAGAATTTTTGCATTAAGGTTATATATAAGGCAAACAAACTCATGGTGATATTGTTGTTTCCACAAAATTTCCCCTACACAGAAATTCTTCTCACTAGAATTTCACTTTACATGCAAAGCAATGGCCTGAAGTCATTGTGGGCTCTGATTTTATACTTTACTACAAAATCAACAGCATCATGTTGCAGACAAGAGAAGCAGAAGAGACTTCGTGGCTGGTGGCTAGACTGAGAGCTGCTGGGGCTGCTGAAATATATGGGGGAAGGCTCAAGGATTTAATCAAAAAGTCACTTAACTCCTCTGAGGGTCAGTTCTCACTCTGCAAAGATGAGACAATGTTGTGAAAATGTGAGGAACTAGTAGGGAAGGAACCTAAGAAAATAATTCTGAGATGAAGAATCAGCACTGACTCCCCGCTCTGCCACCGCAAAGTAGACTCATAGGCTGGTACTTAAAATCTCTAAGCCTCAATTTCCATGTAGATTTAGGGAAAAAAAAAAAACAACACGATTATACTTGAAAGGTCAATGCAGGGGACAGGAATGCAAAAGCCCACCAGGAAGCCCACTTGGGGGCAGGAATGCGGAAGCCTGCCTAGAAAAATCAGACAATGAGCCTCTCCCCGCCCTACATATCTTTTCGGGCCCTACAAACTTTTTCCCTCCGTACAAATCCAGTTTCCTACCTGATCTCTCCTCACCCTATAAAAGCCTGCCTCCCCCTGGCAACGTGTATGACTTCACCGTGAATTCCACCCAGGGGCGCAATAAATTTTCCCTGCCTTTGAGAAACTTGGCCTGGTTCTTCTTTACCACTCCGAACCTTTCAATACTTTACAAAAGTGCTGAACCTAGTCTAACATGTTGCAAGCACTATTACAGGAATTAGAATCTAGCCAAGGTAAGTGTTGCATGAAAAATATTTAAAGAATAGGGGACTGCTTATAATTCAAGCAGGAAAAGAAGAATTTGAAAATATGTGTATGTTTGTACTATCATAACTACATAAAAACGTATACATACACAAGGTACCAAAACATCAAATTAGTAGCTGCTTTGTCAGGTGGTAAGATTAAAAACAACGTTATTTTTGCCTGTATTTTCTACATTTTTCACATCTGTACATATTAACTTTATAGTCAAGGGAGAAAATAACTTAAAATATTAAAGCTTCTCGCATAGAATCTGATCTTAAGATAATATCCTAATTTAAAAATTATTGTGCTCAATATGGATACTGAACAAAATGAAAGACTACATGCAAGAGCTAAAAATTGCCAATCTAGACTACATAAGACTGTTAACAATCTGTATTCAGAGTAAAGTCTCTAACTGTAATCAAAAATCTACTCTTTGCTACTGTCATATTGATCTAAAGGGTATTTTTTTCCAACAACTAATAGACATTTCACACATTTCCCAGAATTAGAATGCTGAAAAGAAATAGCTGAAAATTGTGAAGTTGCCAAATGTGTCCTTCCTAATGTCAACAGGGATATGGAGTACTATTTAGAACAAGCCAAGTTTTGTCATTGTGCAATGAAAGGGTCTCCCTTTTTATTCATTCATTCATTCATTCATTCATTCATTCATTTTTGCAGAATTTACTGTACACCAGGGATACTGTTAGGGGAAAAAGATGTCCTAAAGCTAATTCCATACAGGCTTTGAGGACTCCACCCCCCACCCCAGGCCAAAGCCAAAGACACTGGAAATTCCAAATCCCATCACCACCAAAGGGAAGGTGGCTGGGACCTGAGGGTGGGGTTAAGCAGCCATGTTGGTATAAAGCCAGACACGTGGGCTTTGGAGGGGTCCCCCATTTTGACTCTCCGCCAGCTCACAGCTTCCAGCCAGCTCAGAGAGTGCTTTTTGGGTCTCCAGGTCGGCAGATAGGGTAGGACGCATTAAAGACTTTATTTCCCTATTTTCTCCCTGAGTTGTACATTTCCTTAATTCCCTTTCCCTTGTAAATAAACCTTTTATTAACCTTTTGTGTGTGCCTGTAGTGGAGTATTAATAAGTCCCTTGTAAGGGCGGGGGTGAGGACCCACAGCCAGGCAACCCGTTTTATATCGGGGTTGCCCTATAACAACACCTGCACTATGGAAAGATATCTTTCCCTTACATCTTTACTGAGATCCACAACATGACACATCTAGGCAGGACACATCTAAACAGACTTTAGCTTTGAAGATGGATGGATATAAAGGGACTGACAGCTGGATTAACAGCTCTTGGTTCCACTTTACATACCTCTCGGACATCAAAGGTCCTTTTAAGGTTCACACCAACTATTCCATACAATTCATCAGCAGGAAATAAAGGTTCTTCAGAAGGCTCAATGGTTACCTGCAGAAATATAGAAAAATCATTTTAACCAGTTTAAAGACATAATTTCGAGGCAATGTAAGTCAAGATGCTTTTCAGTAAGATAAAAGATAAAGGATCATATCCTACTCACATCCAACTTCTTCTGGTAATTTAGGTTCCTCACAATCTTCCTAGTTAAGTGAAGGGCATGATTATCATCCAATGCATAGTAGTCCGTTACCCCAGATTTTCTACAGAGTAAAGCAAAAGTAAAACAAAATAAGTGCAAAACACTTCAGTAAACATATAATTTACTCCTTTTAATGTCCCTGATAAAACAAGGGCAATTGTTTGTTTTTTTACAAACTGGAGAAAGGGAGGTACATAAAATTAACACCAGTGGTTCCTAAGATGCCACATCTTCTATCTCTCAATTTTGACCTAAGAGACCACAGGGCCTTGCCAATGAAGACTTCTATATAATGCTCATCCCAATTACCTCAAGCAAAATTGTATACGATAAGATTCAACCACAGACAACATACTTTTATGATGAGGTTGGTATAACGAAAAAAGTGTTTGTACCTAACACAGCTCCTAATGAAGATATCATCTATGACCTCCCATTTCTGAGTGACTACTGAGACCCCGCCTTACATCCCAAGAATAAGCTGTCATAGGTAACATACACAAAGGCTTGAAGACACTGTCCTTTAGATCATGCATATAAGTGAGTATTGACAAAATGGTTCTGTGATGAGTGCCATGGAAGTTCCTATCCAATTATAAGTTGGGTGTGCATGAAGCATGGGCTTGCTCTGGTTATTAGTTCTGTTCTGACTAGATGGTTTACTCATGAACTATGACTTTCTAATAAAATATTCAAAAACTGTAAAGTTGGGTAAGAATATGTACTTGAAATTCATTTTATGAGTAAGGACTGTGCTGATGTCATTTAAATTTTGATGTCTTTTCTACTAGGGACATGCAGCATTACTCTCTTACCTGGCCACTTATTGAGTATTGCAGGTAGAAAGCAGAATGGACATTTCAATCTAGAGAATGACGATGTGGACAGAATAGCCTGAGTGGGGTCTAGACAAAGTGGGCCAACCCCTTGGGAGACAATCCATAGAATTGGGTTCTCATGGTGGTTTCAAGCCAGTCTCCACCTGTGACCTGGGTATTCCTAAATAAGAGCAAAACCTTATTTACCCCTTGTTACAGTTCTCCAATGCTGGGCAGATGGTAGACTCTTCAGCTTCTTTGATTTAATATATTTTGCAACTGACCATCTTTAATGCTTGACACATAATACCAGCTAGAATCACTGACTTCGAGCTACACTGTAGTAATTCAGTGAGCAAACAGAAGCAGAAGGAATTGCTTCCAAATCCATAAATATATAAAATAAAATGCTTTCTTTTAAAAATTGCCCAGTATTTTACCGAAACAGCAGGAAAAGGAAACTTTTGATGATCCACCATATTATGTAAGTCTGTGTCAAATTAACTCCCAAGGATGACTAATCAAAGAGGTATAAATATGTACTTTTAAAGACAGACAGAACCCAAAGCAATTTGTGATAATAAATTTTATGACATGGTTCCAAAAAAAAAAAAAAAAAAAAACAAAAAACTGAAGCAATTACCACCTAATTATTTCTCCATGATTTTAAATAGGTTATTATTAATAACAACAGCTAGTGGTAATAGAATGCTTAGTATGCACCCGACACTGTGCTCAATCCAAGGTAAGAACTACTCGTGTCTTCATTCTACATAGAGGGAAACGAGGCTGGGGCGGTTAAGTAAATTATCTGGACACCAAGGTAATAAGTGAAGCAAATGTAAGATTAATTCCAGAACCTACATGTCTAACTTGATATACAGCCTTCAACTTTTATGGACACCAGATTACTTACTTTAAACTGTCAAAAGTTTAAAAAAAAAAAAAAAGGCTCCGCAGATACTACCATCACCTTCCTCTGGTTAAGAAGCTACAAACAATGGTGGCCCACTTTGTCTAGACCCCAGTCAGGCTACTCGATCCGCATCCTCATTCTCTAGATCGTATCATGCATTCTGCCGTCTACCAGTAACAGCTGGTAAGTGGCCAGGTAAGAGAGTCACGCATACAGTTGTGTTCACCAGACAAATAAGTATTCTGTGCAAATTCAAATTTCCTCTGTAAGCCTTTTTCTGGCTTCTTCAACCCCACTCCAGGCATTTCCTTCCCTGTTCCTTCTTTACCTTCCAGCTGTAAACTGGATACAGATGAGCACATTTACTTTTTAATTGTTTTTAGTTCATTCATGTATTTCTTTTATCTGCCTAATTATGTTCCTGCAGACCTAAAATTCTTCCATGCTACTCCTAACACCTAGAACAATCAATCTGTCCATAATAAGTGCTCACAGAGAAAGACCTGGATGCAAAACAGGCAAAGGTAACTCCCTTAACTGAGTCTTTCTTCAAAAGGCACCACAGTGCCTGACAGGAGAGTAGAGATGTTAATCTACCTTCCTTCTCCCACCTATTGGACTGCTCCCATAACTGCTTGTCTCCCTGTTTTGTGGTTTGGGAGAGCAATGAAGGGTTTACAGCACCTGCCGGGCCCTGAGATCCACTTGCCATTGATGCCCAGGCTCTTCCCTATCTACATTCACCCAGAGGTAAGCTTGATTACGCTCACAGTTTTAAATTCTATCTCTATACTAGTAATTGCCAAATAAAGATCTCTTGCACTGATCTGGCTCCAGTTTCTTATCGTTAACTGAATACTCAAATCTGTAATTTATCAGGTCAAAAAATACTCCATCCCTCTGCCCCATCTCTAAAGTGGGTTCCCCTCCCCTCCCTTCTTCCTGGTCTCAGGAAATGAAATTATTTCAAGTCATCATCTTTGTCACCTCCCTTATGTGAAATTCAACAACTTTCTCAATTCCACCTCTAAAATAGAGCTCAAATCTGTTCACTCCCTACTGTTTCCACCACCATAACCAGCTAAACTACCCAAATCTCTCACCTGTGATACTGACATAGTCACCCAACTGGTCTCGCATTTTGTCTCTTGCCAACACTCCAAGCATCCTTCGTTTAGCATAGCATAGAGCTTTTTAAATGAAGTATCTGATAACAGTACATCCCTGCTTAGAATCTTCAGTGGTTTCCTAATTGCTCTCTGACAAAGGAATCTTTAATGACCAGCTATGTTCATAGCAACAACAAACATAATAGTGGCAGTTAACATTTATAAGTACTTATTTAAAGCAGATATTGTTGTACATGTATCATCTCATTAAATCCTTATGAGAGGGCCTCCCCGGTGGCGCAGTGGTTGAGCGCTGGGTTGCGAAGCTGCCCGCGGCCTCTGCAGCACCAGTTCGATCCCCGGCTGCTCCCCGGCCCCCGGAGGAGGGTCCCACATGGCACGCAGACCTCTCCTGCCGCCCGCTGCTCCCCTCAGCAGTGTACTTCGGTCCTTCTGCCTGCTCTGCTCCCCACTCTGCCTCTGGTGAATTCTCTCACCCTCCGGCGCTTCTGACTGTACCCAGTGCTTGTATAAACAGAACAAACAAATAAATAAATAAATAACATGCCTCTATTAAAAAAAATAAATAAATAAATAAATCCTTATGAGATTTTGTGAGGTAGATGGTCTTTTTCTGCCTAGTGTCTGACCTGAAGAATTGCTCTGCTAAGCCCTCACACAAGCACGTGCCCTGGAGAGCAGCTGTAGTCACAAGCAGATGTTGACTTCTCCAACGCATCTGTGATCAACAGCCTCCCCCGTCTCCCAGTGTCTGTATGGCTTATGTGTCCCTTAATAAGAACCCTGTGGGACTTGCAAAAACACTGCTCTTTTCATCTGAGGCTAACGGTTCCTGCCTTAGCACTCTACCCGTAGGTCCTCATAAGGACATGTGCCCCAGCTCCTGTCTCTCTGTCTACACTTTGCCTTGACTTCTCCATGTGACCCCTGGAGGCATGCCATATATTTCCTCCAGGACCTATGAGCAAACTTCTTTTATTTCAATTTCTTTTGTGATCTGTTGAACCATAACTCACATCAGCAGCCTGTACTACACCTGACAAATGTTAATTCAACAAAGTCATAACATTTGCACACCACTGGGTTCCATCCATCTTCTGTAGGCTTTCTTTATAGGCCTTATCATAAATTCACATGTCTAACATTGTTTGGTAATTATTTATTTATTGCCTACCTCCCAAACTAGACAGTAGGCTCCTTGAAGTCAAAGGTAATGTCTATCTAATTATCCTGAATACCCAGAACTGTGACTGGCAAATAATAGGTTTTTGATGGATATCTGTTAAATAAACAAGAAAACTGAGTCTCTCCAGCCCTCTAGGCTATAATAAAAAAGGTGACTTTCTAACTTGGAAATGTAACTTTACAGTACAAAGGGTTGAAGCCTAAAACAATCGATGGAGAACAAATAAACTGCTGTTTGATCTGTCAAGTTTAATGCTTGGAAAAATGAATTTAAAATTCTTTTGAACAAAAACAATCAATCAATTCTGGAAGGAAACAACCCGTTCTCTTTCACCTGCAATGAAGATCAGCACCTCCGAGGTCCTCAGCTGACACTTCTTCTCCAGTTGCTGCTTTGACCTGCAAGGAAGATAAAAGCTGAAGGTGAGATTTGTTCAAGACACACAAATGCCTACTGAGCACACACATCTAACCCGACTAACCTCCCACTCCTTCTTCCATGGGGCTAAACAACACTGTATTTTCTCTTCTCACCGACCAGCAAGCTAGGGAACAGTATCTCCAGTCCACAAAAGAAAAATCGGGGGGCCTCCCCGGTGGCGCAGCAGTTAAGCGCTGGGTTGCGAAGTTGCCTGCAGCCTCTGCAGCATCGATTCGATCCCCAGCCACTGGCGAGGGTCCCACATGGTGCACAGACCTCTCCTGCCATGCCCACTGCTCCCCTCAGCAGTGTACTTCGGTCCTTCTGCCTGTTCTGCTCCCCGCTCTGGCTCTGGTGAATTCTCTCACCCTCCCAGACTTCTGACTGTATCCAGTGCTTGTATAAATTAAATAAATAAATAAATAAATAAATAAATAAATAAATCTTTGGCAGGGGGCGCAGAAAATTCAGAACTCCAGTCCTGAGCAAGTACAGGAACCTGGTTTGAATGCAGGCATTTATGGCTGAAAACCCTCTCTCTTTCCCCTATATTAGGCTGCCTCCACACACATGCCTCTGTGATTACACGTGCTGTTTCCACTGCCGGGCCCCTTCTCCCTCTCACCCATTTGATGAACGCCTACTTATCCTTCAGGTCCCACCTCAGGTCACCTACTCTATGTGACTTTCCCTGACCCACCCATGCCTTCTCATTATGAATACACCCACCATGTCAACACAGCAGTGCCTGCTCATCTGTGATCCAGCAGTATCCCACTTATGCCTCCAGCCGGGCACCTGCCAGACTGTATTGCAATAATTTGCATCTATCTGTTATCTCCTTTAACCTCTATTCCTTTATGGTAGGAATTGTGATTTATCCATCTTTGAACAATCAATAAATGTACTGAAGGCCTTTATTTTGCCTATGCTGATAAATTTCAGTTACAATCACAAAATCTTAAAGGTATAATATCTGTAAAATAGGGAAGGGGGGAATCTCCAAGATTACTTACATCAAAGACTCAGTAGAGTATGATCAAAAAGAAAGAATTCAATTAATAAATAAGGATGACTTAATTATAGTCTGTGAAATTCTAACAGGAAAAAGAATGAAAAATCATTTAGTGCTAAATGCCAAATGGCTAACTTGGGAATTACTTATTGACTCCTACTTCTATGGGTTGGCTAATTTGTTTCTTTTTCCTCAAATAGGGAATGCTTTTTTAAGAATAATGAATATTAATCTAAAAATACAGCATAGAAAGGACTTATTACTCACTAAATCAAAAGCTCTGTCTTAAATAAAATATTATTCCACAGGGAGAGGTGATTAAAAATTTCACCTCCAATTATTCCACCCCCCAGTACTAAACTCTTGGCTCTCATCTTACAAAAAAGTTCAATATAAAATAACATTCAGTCCGACAATAGCAAATTACAAGAAGTGTCTGGATATTTAAGTTGTGAAAGGGAGTAAACAACAGATATACTATGTTTATTTCAGTCAACACCTATAATATGTTTCATGCTGTGATAAGTACAAAGATGATAAAAGTCATAGAGAACATAAAAGCAACTCACTCTACTAAATAACAAGTTCAGAAAATAAACAAAAGACAGGAGGAGAACAAAAGCCCTTTCAAAAATTTGTGTTATTACTACGCATTTTTTTCAAACACCTTAAGCTACTGAAAACTATAGCAACTCAACCCCACATTACGTGTGAAAGCTACAAAGCCTTGTCTCAACTTTCAGTAAACAAGCATCAAAATTTAGAATTCTCAAACAGATGAGGCTGTTACTGCTTCTTTTTAATCTACCCGTACACAAGGTCTTTTAATGGTAGACTACTGAACAAGGTTAAGTGTATAGGAGTGGATCAGAAAAATGCTATACACACACATTCACACACACACAGTGGAATACTACTCAGTTATAAAAAGGATGAGCTCCTGCCATTTGCCACAACATGGAATGACCTAAAAAAGACAATGCTAAGTGAAATTAAGTTAGAAGGAAAAAGACAAATGACAGACGGTCTCATTTATATGTTGAACATAGACCATAGACTTAAAATGGTAAATTATGTCATGTATATTTTGGCACAATACTTTAAGAACAATTGAAAAATGGTTAGGAAGGTAAATTTTGTATATATGTATTTTATTTCAATCAATCAATCAAGACTATGCTCTTACCAATGGGGGCCCTGCCAAGAAAATGGTGCCCTGTTTGCGCACAATGATGTTTTCATCAGCCATTGCAGGCACGTAAGCACCTCCTGCTGTACAGGAGCCCATGACCACAGCTATCTGGAACACAAGCACACAACACAGCCATTAGGTACAGTTCAGTGAATAACACAACTTTTGGGCCCCACAAAGTTTCAGTACCAAGGGTATTATTAGCAGGTCCCCAGACATCATTTTTAAAATGGAGGCCTCTAAACATTTTATTATTTTCTTCTCTCAAAGCATTTTGAAGGGCTTATGTCACACTTTTTTTTTTTTTTAATAATTTTTTTTTTTAAATAGAGGCATGCTTTATTTATTTGTTTGCTGGTTTGTTTGTTTGTTTGTTTATACATGCACTGGGTACAGTCAGAAGCGCGGAGGGTGAGAGAATTCACCAGAGTCAGAGCGGGGAGCAGAGCAGGCAGAAGGACCGAAGTACACTGCTGAGGGAGCAGCGGCGGCAGGAGAGGTCTGCGCGCCATGTGGGACCCTCCTCTGGTGGCCGGGAGCAGCCGGGGATCGAACCGGCGCCGCAGAGGCCGCGGGCAGCTTCGCAACCCAGCGCTCAGCCGCTGCGCCACCGGGGAGGCCCATTATGTCACACTTTTACAAGGTTTAAAGACAATCTCTGTCAGAGATAAGAGTAGCCAGATAGACCGCTAGCCTGAAGAACTAAAGGAGAGAAAAAAATACCCATGGTTTAGTAAAACTATGTTAAAGGGATAACTTTTAAATTTAACAATAATAAAAAGCTCTCTAAATAACTGCCACTTACCTCAGGGATACTGAACTGAACTAACTCTCCAAATGAGTTCTGTTAATACTTTGTGTTACCTTGAATATGCTCACGAACAATAAAGCTAACATAAACACCACAATTAAAAATCTTGCTGGAAAAAAGTCAATTGCAAATTATTTTTCTACTTCTGTGTTTGAAATTTTCCATAATAAAAAAAAAAATTTTTTATATTCTTGCTTAGAGATTAGTATGACACAAAGTATAAATATGGGTTTGGCTGATTAACCTGAGATAGGAATAAATAATATCACAAAGACAAATAAGAGAACTATGTAATGACATGTTTTTAAGTATATGAAAACAATTTCTGCAACTAATTCCAATATTTTATCAGTTTCTTAGTCACAGAAATGTCTCTTTTGAAATGCAAAAAGTCATACTACCATTAATCCAAAAATGAAAGGCAGTATATAGTAATATTTTTCTATTTAATGATAATTACAAAGGACATTTCCCTAACTACTTCACTTATGTTATTAAAAATGGCTACGACAGTTATCTGCCAATATTTCATAGAAGTATTTAGCACTTAACTGCTTTTGCCTATCAATCACCCAAAAGTTTGCTTGAAGATACCTATGATATAGAACCTCTGCCTATGAGCACAAGGAAACATTCATTATAACAGTGTTGAAGTAGAAAACATAGGCAAATTATGCAATTAACGATATTTTGAATGGCTAAATGGTGCATGAATAAGTTTTTAAAAACCTGAGGAAAAAATAACAAATGAAATATTAATACTAAGTGAAAGAGTGCTTCTGTTTTATTATTTACTACACTTTGTGAATGTCTGATATATTTTGGGGTTTTTTGTTTTCTTTTTTAAATTTAATTTTATTTTTTAATTATATATTTTATTTTAATTTTAATTATTTTTACATCATTGCTCATTTTTTATAGTAATTTTTTTACATCATTGCTCATTTTGAAACAGTATGTGCTTCCCCCACCCCCTCAGATATAGCCCCATAGAGTTTCTTTCCCCAATGTACCGGTGCACCATCACCTCAGTCCCCTGTGCTCCTCCCTTCCTCCCTCTGATCCCTCTCCAGCCTCCTGTTTTTTTTTTTGTTTTTTTTTTTAAGGTTCCATGATGACAGAAGGATATGATTTCACCTTATCAGCCTGGTCTCTGAAACAGAACACCAGAATCCATTCAAATTATTTCAGTATAAAAAAAGGGCAAGGGATTTGACTTAGGGAAAAGTCACAATGGTCTAAGAATCTAAAAGGGGACAATTTCAGGGCCTCCCCTCGTGGCGCAGCAGTTGAGCGCTGCAACCTTTGTAGTGCCAGTTCGTTCCCCAGCCCCCAGTGAGGGTCCCACATGGCCTGCAGACCTCTCCTGCCACGCCCCGCTGCTCCCCTCAGCAGTGTATTTCCTCAGTCTGCCACTTCTGTTTCCCGCTCTGGCTCTGGTGAATTCTCTCACCCTCCCGCGCTTCTGACTGTACCCAGTGCTTGTATAAATAAATAAACCTTTAAAAAATAAAAAAAAAAATTTAAAAATAAAAGGGGACAATTTCAAAAATAAGATGTAAAAAACTAAATAGACATAACAGATTTCCAAGAAAACAATTAATGAACAAAAAAAAAAAAAAAAAAAGGAAAGAAGAAAATATAACAACTATCAGAATATTCAGAGACCAAGAATGTGAGTAGAGGAGGGGGTAGGGAGAAAAAAGAGGAGACCCTGATGGGGGTATCCAAATATTACCTCAACTGAAAATTAATTTTTTTTAAAAAACAGGTATGATTTTGTCAAAATGCAGTAAGTCAAAACTGAGGGAAATGAAATGATTCTGTCGTGTCATGTCAGAGAGGAGGAAAAAGCCCATCAATTTAGTAGAAAAGTGAATAGCTGCCAAATCATTACTTCAGGGAATTTGACCATATTTTTAAGCATACTTCAGATGTGTTTCTCTACAGTACTTAAAAATCCTCTTCTCTTAAACTGGCTAGTACATTATATACGAGGTATGGGCTCAGAAAAGGGTGGGAGATTGTGCAGGCAGCTTAACCTTGAAATCCTCATGCTGAGTGAAAGCAACCAGACACAAAGACCACTCACTATGTAGCTCTCTTTCCCTGAGATGTCCAGAACTAGGTAAATCAATAGACAGAAGTAGATTAGGGGTTTCCAGAGGGCTAAGGAGGACTGGGGAGAATGGGAAAAAACCGCTAATAATAGATGTGGTATTTTCTTTGGGGTAATGAAGATCTTCCAAATTTGATTCAGTTCTGTAAATGCCCTAATGGGGATTCACATTACTTGGGTAAATTCTTTGGTATGTGAATTATATTTCAATCATGTTGTTATTAAAAAATACTTTGAAAGGCAGTTTTACTAAACAAACAGAAATAAAAATTCTCAAATTTTTCATCGGAAAAAAGAGAGTCTACTCTAGTTACAAGTAACTAACAGGCATAAAACTAAAATTGCAAAAGCAAATTCTGATCACAGAAATAAAAATTAAATATAGATAAAAGAAGAGTGATTGAAAAAAAATAGTCACCACTCACACAATCTCTTCTCATCATTTAATCATGAGCCATTCACTCACTCACAAAAGAAAGTAAATGTGCACCAGCAAAGGCGTCTCCCATGGTGTGGCAGGGACCTAAAATTTTCCCTCACAAAGCACAGGAACCCCAGGGCCAAACCAGCAGGGACCACTTTCCATGTCCCAAAGCATCATCCTTGGTACCACAAAGACCTTAGCCTGGACTGCACCAGAGTTCACTTGGGCAAATGATCTGGAATCCAAAAATCAAGTTCTGCTTTCTCAACTAAGAAGATATTAAAAGGACATAAAACGAGGACCACAAACTGTTCTGACAACACTCAAAGGTAGAGGTTTGGTTTTTACGGAAGGCACAACCCAGGCTCTAGCTGGAAGAGACACCAAAGCAACGCTCATCCACATCAGGACAAGGCAGCTCCTGAGATCTCTACTCAGACATGTGAGTGGCTATAGTCCACCCAGCACAGGGGAGGGGGAGTCTGCTCTGTGATGGGAAAGACCAAAAGAGCCCTCTGGCAGGGTGAGGATGTCCTTGCTGATTCAAAGATTTAAATCAAAAACAAGAAAGCAGCAAAAAGGCTTAAAAATGATGTGTAATGAACAGTAACAATATTTGTCATCACTGCCACCAAAGACACCAGTAAAATTTTTGAGTGAAAATAAAACAGATGCTAAAAAACAAAGGTAATAGTCTGGAAATATGTTTGACAAAATTCCATTACCCTCCTGGTCTTACTTGCACAAATAGAGATTGGTTCTCATTACACCAAAGGCAAATTACGTATTGAAGGTCAGCAGCCTGCCCTGTAGAAAGAGTCTCTGAGAACAAGTCAAGAGGTTTTTTACCTTATTCTGAAAAGCTTCGTGAACCCTATACCTTCACCCTTTCACTGAAAAATTGCAGAAGACTATCCAGTTCAAGGTACACTGTAAGTGTAACATAAGTTGTAGGGAATGGGGATTTCAATGGCTTGCTAGAAAAGCTATTAAAAATACAATTGATTCCTGAACAATACAAGAGGGGCACCGACACCCTCACACACACACCCAGGAAGTCAAAAGCCTATATATAACTTTGACTCCCCCAAACCTAACTAGTAATAACCTGCTGCTAAACTTGGAAGTCTCACCAATAACATAGAGTCAACAGACACATTTTTTTCCTTAATATGTATTATACATATATGTATTATATATTTATGCTTATAATAAAATAAGCTAGAGGAGAGAAAATATCATTAAGGAAAATCATATGAAAGAGAAAATCCCTGAGCTATATTTATCAACACCCTAAATTCGCATCGTCTGTGTACGAGATGAATCTTCTATCATACTGACATCAACACTGTCTGATATAATACAAAACAATATAGATGCTGTAAATCCACAAGTAAGTGGACCCACGCAGTTCAAACCCATCTTTGTTCAAGAGTCAACTATATAATGATATTTTATATAATAATGTAAATATAAAATGCTTTTTTAAACTCTCATCACTTTCAACACAAAGTGATTGTAGAAAAACAGGTAACGCCTGTATCACATTTTTTTCTTCCTTTACCTGAAGAGCAGCCATTAAAAAATAAGTCATAACTCACCGCTGGGGCAGACCGGGTGTGCAGGGGAGTGCATCCCTGGCACCGGCATTTTGCAGCAGGGACCTCTCTTTGGTGGAGACTGTGTGAAACCAGCAGAAGGCTCCCTGAGGAGCCAGAGGTGAGCTGGGAGGCTCGCCCAAGCCAGGCCCCTTCTGGCCTGCAGTCCCAGCCCAGAGGGGAGCTGCACCCACTGCTGGGACAGACCTGGTGCACAGGGGAGCGTGTCCCCCACATCAGCATTTTAGAACAGGGACCTTTCTTCAGTAGAGAATGCTTGAAACCAGCAGAAGTCTCCCAGAGGAGCCAGAGGTGAGCTGAGAAGTTCGCCGAAGATGCCGGTCAGTACCAGCAACACAGTGTCCCAAGGAATACGGCAAATTAGAAAACAGGCAGCAGGGAGTAGAAAAACCACATGCAACCCAGCAACCCCTCAGGAAAAAAGCACACCACAAAAAGAAAACTACCTACCAGATTGCAACGACAGTAACTTGGAAGACATTCTGAACCTTCCAGAAAGAGAATTTAAAACTGCCGTGATTAAAAAACTGACAGAAGTCATAAAGGAAAATAATGATAAGGGAAAAATAATTAATGACCAGAAGAATGAAATTGAGTCCCTAAAGAGAGAAGTAAAAGAAATGCAGGAGATCAAAGAATTAATGGAGGCGCTAAAGAACTCTGGGAAAAGCAATGAAAGCAGAATAGATGAAATGGAAGAATGAATAAGTACTCTTGAAGACACAGAAATAAAAAGAACTAAAACAGAAAAGGAAGGAGAAGTACGAAGGAAAAAGACTGAAAAAAGACTTCGGGAACTATCTGACTCCATGAGGAAAGGAAATATAAGAGTTATAGGAATCCCAGAAGGAGAGGAGAGAGATATAGGAACAGAGAAAATATTCACGGAAATAATTGAAGAAAACTTCCCAAACGTGAAGAAGGAGCTGAAAATTGATATACAAGAAGCAAGAAGAACACCAAACTTCCATGACGAAAGGAAAAATACAGCAAGACACATAATAGTAAAGCTCCCAAGAATCCAAGACAAGGAAAAAATAATGAAACTGACAAGAGGGAAGAAACAGATAACATTCAATGGAAAACCAATCAGACTGACATCAGACTTCTCCGAAGAAACACTACGAGCAAGGAGGGAGTGGAGGGACATAGTCAACAGACTCCAAGAAAACAGATGCCAACCACGAATACTCTATCCCGCAAAGCTCTCCTTCCTCTATGAAGAATAAGGACCTTCCCAGACAAACAGAAACTCTGGAATTTTATTACGACTAAACCCCCACTCCAAAAAATACTACAAGGAGTCCCAAAGCCAGAACCGCAGAGGGACGAATAACAACAAAAGAAGGCCAAAAAAAAAAAAAAAAAAGTTATTAAAAGAATAAATAAATAAAATCAAAGGAAAGGCAAACACAATGGCAAATACAGATGCTAACATATCAATACTAACTCTAAATGTAAATGGACTAAACTCTTCAATAAAAAGACACAGTCGCAGGCTGGATTAAGAAACAAAACCCAACCTTTTGCTGTCTCCAGGAAACACATTTAGCTGCAAAAGATAAAAATAGACTCAAAGTTAAAGGATGGAAAACAATCCTACAAGCAAATGGACCTAAAAAGAAGGGAGGAACAGCTATACTCATATCAGATAAAACAGATTTCAAACTCAAAAAGATAAAAAGAGACCCCAAGGTCACTACATTATGATCAAGGGGACAATACTTCAAGAAGAAATAACACTCATTAACATATATTCACCAAACGAAGGAGCACCAAAATATATCAGACAATTATTGTCACTCTGAAAACAGACATCAGAGAAAACACATACGTAGTGGGAGACTTCAACACACCACTATCAACAATGGATAGATCAACGAGACAAAAAAATAAGTAAAGACACTAAAGCTCTAAATAAGGATCTAAAGAGCTTAGGCTTAACAGACATCTATAGAACACTAAACCCAAAAAAATCTGGGTACACATTTTTCTCAAGTGCACACAGATCATTCCCCAGGATCGATCACATACTGGGACACAAGACAAACATCAACAGATACACCAAGATTGAAATCATACCAACCATCTTTTCTGACCATGAAGGCATCAAACTAGAAATAAGCCATAAAAAGAAGGCAAGGTACTCTCCTACCTCATGGAGATTGAAACACACACTACTGGAAGTCCACTGGACTAATGAGGAGATCAAAGAAGAAATTAAAAAATTCTTTGAATTGAATGACAATGAAGACACCAATTTCCTAAATGTATGGGATGCAGCAAAAGCAGTAATAAGAGGAAAATATATAGCAATAGAGGCTCGCATCCAGAAACAAGAAAGAACTCAAAGAAACAACCTAATCTCGAAGCTCAAAGATCTAGAAAAAGAACAACAAAAAAACCCCAATACCAGTAGAAGAAAAGAAATAATAAAAACCAAGCAGAAATAAATGAAACATCACTTGTAATCAGGGAAATGCAAATCAAAACTACCATGAGATACCACCTTACACCAGTGAGAATGGCACATATTAAAAAAAGTAGCAACAACAAATGTTGGTGAGGTTGTGGAGAAAAAGGAACTCTCCTGCACTGTTGGTGGGAGTGCAAACTGGTCCAACCACTATGGAGAGCTGTGTGGAGATTTCTGGACCTACTAAAGATAGAGCTTCCATATGATCCAGCAATTCCACTCCTACGTATTTACCCATAGGACACAGAAACATTAATTCCAAAGGGCACCAGCACACCTATGTTTATAGCAGCATTGTTTACAATAGCTAAGCTTTGGAAACAGCCCAAATGCCCAAAAATAGATGACTGGATCAAGAAGATGTGGTACATATACACCATGGAATATTACTCAGCATTCAAAAAAGATAAACACATGCAATTTGCAGCAACATGGATGGCGCTGGAAGGGATCATGCTCAGCGAAATAAGCCAGAAAGAAAAAGAAAAATACCGGATGCTCTCACTTATAGCAGGAATCTAGAAAACTTAAATAAGGGACCAGGAAAATGAATAACTATAAGAAAGTGAAAATCATGGGCCTCCCCGGTGGCGCAGCGGTTGAGCGCTGGGTTGCGAAGCTGCCCGCAGCCTCTGCGGCGCTGGTTCGATCCCCAGCTGCTCCCCGGCCACCAGAGGAGGGTCCCACATGGCGCGCAGACCTCTCCTGCCGCCCGCTGCTCCCCTCAGCAGTGTACTTCGGTCCTTCTGCCTGCTCTGCTCCCTGCTCTGGCTCTGGTGAATTCTCTCACCCTCCCGCGCTTCTGACTCTACCCAGTGCTTGTATAAATAAATAAATAAATAAATCTTTAAAAAAAAAAAAGAAAGTGAAAATCATAACCAACAAACAACTATGAACCAGAGACAGTCTATGAGGGTGGGGGGCGGGGAGGGGAGGGATTGGGGTCAAAATAAGGGGGTTGCAATTGTATGGGGAATATAAAAATAAAATATAAAAAATAATAAGTCATAAAATATACATTATTAATTCACCTCATTAATTCAATTGTTATCAAGAATTTAAGAACATTACCCATTATACTGATGGATCAACATTCCTACAGTACTCATGCCTATGTGGGCTAACTGGGTATTTGAAATCTACACAGCAAACAAAATGTCTGTCTTACCCAGAATATTTGTGGCTCCCTCAATCTCTTTATCAGAGTCACACAGCAGTGATTTTATCTTTCCAGGTCCTATCTTGCTTCATTACAGGTTGAAATGCATTTTTAAAAGAATAATAAACAGTGCCTGTTCTAACTAAGCCCATAAACCAATTACCAAGCTATGAAGCAAAAAAGACAAAATTTAAAAACTATGAGTGAGGCTGAGGGGAGGTGAGGCTAGGTAAGGAAAAATGAAGTGACACCTGAGAATATTTAAATACAGTATAAGAGTATTTGCATAATTAACATAAGAATCTTGGAAAGAACCCTAAGATACTTTTTGTGAAAAAGACTAAATTCCGGTGGCGCAGGGGTTGAGCGCTGGGTTGCAAAGCTGCCAGCAGCTTCTGCAGTGCCTGTTCGATCCCTGGCTGCTCCCCGGCCACCGGAGGAGGGTCCCACATGGCGCGCAGACCTCTCCTGCCGCCCGCTGCTCCCCTCAGCAGTGTACTTGGGTCCTTCTGCCTGCTCTACTCCCCGCTCTGGCTCTGGTGAATTCTCTCACCCTCCCGCGCTTCTGACTGTACCCAGTGCTTGTATAAATAAATAAATAAATCTTTAAAAAAAAGAAAAAAGAAAAAGACTAAATTCCATTTTATGTCATTGAAAAATACCTAATTAGCAAAGACATTTAAAGCAAAAAGCAATACATCTCATCAACGAGCTATTACCTGGGTAATATTTTTAGAAGACATAATTGCCTGATTATAGAATATGCGACCGAAGTGCTCTCGATCTGCAAATACTTCTGCTTGTCGAGGTAAGTTTGCCCCTCCTGAATCAACTGAAGACAAGAGAAATGAGAAGTGAGTACAAAGTAAGCCACACACAAGACCTGCATCAATGACAGTGGCAATTCTTAATCACAATCACAGAAAACCTGCCCTATCCTTCTAAAACACGCTATCACCTCTTTGCACAATCCCCCATTAGGTCATCCTACCTCTTTAATTTTTTTTTTCTTTTTTGGCGTGGAAGAACTGGGTGTAAGCCAGAGGTGCGGGAGGTAAGAGGATTCACCAGAGACCCAGTGGGGAGCAGAACAAGTAAATTTACTGAAGTATACTGCTGAGGGGAGCAATGGGCAAAGGTCTCCTACCACTGTGCAAAATTCTACTTGAAATGTTTGAGACACTCTTTCCCTTGAAGACCAGCTAAAATTCAAGAAACACCATCAGTTCTTAACCATTTCAGCCAAAAAAATTATCTTTCCCTCTTTTAAAACAACACAAAATTTATCTGCAGAATTTATGTGCACTGTCACACACTGCCTTCTGGTGGCGTTTCACAACATAGTCTACTAGTGGGCACGAAGCCAGCTGAGTTCAAAACAGACTTCACTACTTTACAGCTGTGTGATTAGAGGTGTTTCCTAACCATTCTATATCTTGGCTTCCTCATCTATGACACAAAGGTAACAGTAGTTACCCCATAGGTGTCTGAGATGACTTGAAATGACAAATGCTCAACACATTCTGTGAGCGCACAAGTAACTGTCAGAGGAAGCTAGCTGGGTCTATACTCACTACCACTGCACACAACCACTAAACCTTTTATTGTTATCTAACACATTATATTGTGTCTCCAATTCATTATAAGGTTGTCATAGACAGGATCCATGTGTGCTTTTTACTGCAAACCCTACAGTGTTTTCAGCACCTACAAACAGCAGGGCCTCATCTGTTTTCATGTGTGCAAAAGCCACCTAGTATTTTCACTGTCACAAATAAAAAAATCTCTACATCAGTAGCTGTTAAACACCCACATAAATGGACAGCATATGTTGGGATTTTAAACCAATATCCAGGAAGCACCAAATTAAATGCCTTGTTGTTGTTTTTTTTTAATGCTTTAGATTTAAATCTATTTTAATTTCAAACATAAATTTACTTTTCTTGAAAATGATATTTCTGGGGCCTCCCTGGTGGTATAAGGGGTTAAGCACAGCACTGTGAAGCTATCCACACCACTGTAGCATGAGTTTGATCCCTGGCCGGGGAGGTGACCCACATGGCACAGCAGACCTTTCCTTTCTCGCCCACTGCTTCCCTCAGCAATGTATTTCAGTCAATCTGCCTGTTTTGCTCCCCACTCTCTCTGGTGAATCCTCTTCACCCCCAACCCTGCATCTCTGGCCTGCACCCCAGCTCTTGTATGCATAAATAAATCTTAAAAAAAAAAAAAGAAAATGAAATTTCTTTTTTTTTACTTCTGCTCAAATTATATAAGATCCAATCATTTTACATTTAACATACACAGATTCTAGCACTCAAAAATCCATAAATGTTAGCTATTGCTTTTTCATAGGTGGAACCCATTATAGTTAACAAAAAAATAAAATATATAAAAGAAAAAGGCTCCACATGTACATAGGGAAAAAACCTGGCATATATCAAAATATTATTAGGAGTTATTTCTCAGTGATACTATTATGAGTAGCTCTTTTTCCATTTTCTCCCAGAGTTTTTAACAAAGAACATTATTTCTTTTACAATTATGGGAGAAACCAACAGCTTTTTAAAAATATCATTGACAGAGTATTGGAGGGAAACATATGGATCCTTTGGACAAAATGTCCATGAAGACTCAGTTCCAGATGCTAAAAAATGCATATTTCCCTCAGAAAGTCACTGGAGAGCGAGCACATGGGCTGATCTGGGAACACAGACAACTGCTTTCTATTTTTATTCTTTTTAATGAATCAGAAGAACATTTAGCAGGTGATGTTTCATACTTTGGTTAGTGTTGCTGCCCATAGAATCCTACCCAGCACCAGGCAGCCAAGGGCACCCCAGAAAACTGGCAGAAGACAAGAGCAGGGGTAGCTGCTTACCTCAATGACCCTGAATTAGAACAACCACTAAAAAAATCTACTGCTGATGTCATATATTAAGCCTTCTGAAGGGTCTTGTATTTTACTACATAAAATAATAATAGTTTGTTTTACAACTCCCGAGACTTGCCTAAGTAGATGCAGGGGAGCCTGTTTTGCAGTGCAATTTCTTGTGCACGTAGATGCTTTTTCACAGTCACTGGGTAGTAGGTACCTCCTTTGACAGTGGCATCGTTGGCAACAACCATGCATTCTACTCTGGAGGACAGAAGTTGCAAAGAGAATGTGAGAGATTTCTTCAAAGTTAAAGTCCAATTTCATCTCAATACCAGACACTCCAATTCAACCCTCAATTTCTTATGCTCTTGTTTGATTTTTAAAGACTCATCAGTCCTATCAAAGTGAAACAACTAAAAACCTACAACACATTTCATAACAGTTCTTTGAATGAAAGGACCCTAAACAAGATAATAATACCAAAAAAAAAAAAACACAAAAAACCCAAATCTCAAGGATGAGGAAATCCCTCATAATAAACCTCAGGATTCCTCTTAGGAAGAGAATTTGAAAAATGAAAACTAATCCATCAAGAGTATTTATATTTCAGATTTTCAAAAGTTCTTCAATGTTACTGCCATATGCTCTTCTATAAAACTGAAAGAAGTTTCAAACACATCTATCTTGCTTAAAGTATCAACAGAGGAGAACTTGAAATGGCATGGAGCAGCATGCTGGTACTACAGCCACAGTGACACTTGATAAAACAACATGTTCTTTACAAAATTTAATCTTTATATTCATGACACTTTTGTTATTTTACTTCATATTCTCTATTTAAAAAGTAAAGCAGGGCCTCCCCGGTGGCGCAGCGTGTTGAGCGCAGTGCTGTGAAGCTGTCCGCAGCCCCTACAGTGCGGGTTCGGTCTGGCCAGCCAGAGAGAATCCCACATGGCGCAGCAGACTCTCCTGTCGCACTCGCTGCTCCCCTCAGCAGTGTACTTCGGTCCTTCTGCTGTTCCGCTCCCGGCTCTGTCTCTGGTGAATCCACTTACCCTCCCGCACCTCTGGCCTGTACCCCAGCTTTTGTATAAAAATAAATAAATCTTCATTAAAAAAAAAGTAAATCACTGAATTCTTGTTAAAAATAGAGAACAGGGCCTCCCCAGTGGTGCAGCAGATTGAGCGCCACGCTGTGAAGCTGTCTGCAGCCTCTGCAATGCAGGTTCGATTCCTGGCCGGCCAGGGAGATACCCACATGGGCACAGCAGACCTCTCCCGTCTCGCCTGCTGCTCCTCTCAGCAGTGTCTTCGGTCTGTCTGCCTGTTCTGCTCCCCGCTCTGTCTCTGGTGAATTCTTTCACCCTTCTGTGCCTCTGACTATACCCCAGTTCTTGTATAAATAAATAAATCTTTAAAAAAAAAAATAGAGAACAGCAACCAAACTGAGGCCTCCTATAGTGTGCTGCTCATCTTAGAGAATGTGGCAGCAGGCAGCAGTTGATATCGGTATCAGTTTTATTCCCTAGGTCAGAGGAGGTCTTTTTCCACATGACAAGCAATGTTTTATAGAATGGGAAGAAATTTTTCATTACTTTAACAATTAGCAAATTAGACTTCAGAGGGTACTTATGGCAGATACTGGGCTATAAGCCCACACCTCCAAAGTGTGTTCACACTTCCCAATCCTGTGGGTGCTGCACCAGCAGAACTTACAAAGCTCTTGTACTGAAAAGAGGCTGGAACGGTGGCTCTGCAACATGCTAAGAATGTGGACAATAGATAGACACTTTTACTTCTCTACTAAAAGGACACATGCACATTACAAAGTGAGAAATAAAATTAGACCCACATGTATTGTATTGTACATCATTCATTTTGCCCACTCAGCATCTATTATTTTGGTAATAGAACTAGTGACTTTTTTCATGACCTTGGCTCTGAGAAGTTCTAGGTTAAAACTACCAATGGCCACACTAAGGAGTAGAACCTCAACTGTTCATTCATTCATTCCAACTGTGTGTACACTCTCAGTACCAAAGAGTACCAAAGAGTACCAAAGCACTTGGGCCAGGATGCTTAACCAAAGATTCGTGAACCTGTACAGTTCCCAGTTGCAAATTCAATGTTTTTCCAAGTTGAGGATAAAAACTGAGAACAAGGTACAAAGCAAGAAAATAAAAAGGGAAAGTATTCACGACGAGAAAATATTTGTACATGTACAGGAAAGGTGAAAGAGCATGATCCAATATATTAACAATCATTATGATTATAAGTAAAATTAAAACTATCCTACCTATGCATTTCTGTGATAAATGAATTTAGATTAACTCTGCATCATTAGTTCATCATTTTTTAAAAAAGATTTTTAGGTATCCCTTAGGAGTCCAAGAAAAAAATGGCTCCGCACAGGATGAATATTAAGCAAATCACAATAACCAAATAGCCACAGGGGAGATATGGAGGTAAAGGAAGGTAATAAGGAAGAAGCAACAATGGTAAATGGCTACAGGTATACCTTCCCTGAAAGCACAGATCACAGGCAGAAATTGGAGAAACACACAAATACCAGCATCTGAATCAAGCATATCACATTTAGAATTCAACAACCTGAGGTCAAAGCCAAGTTCTGCCCTAGGCTTGATCTTGAGGAAGTTAATTAACTCTCAAAACTAATTTCTTTATCTGCAGAATGGTGATGACTATACTAGTCCCCATTCTCAGAGCTGTTTCACAACAGCTTCAGGCAACAATGGGCAGTTCCTGGCATGGTATCTTCCTGCAAACGTGAAATCACACATAAATATACACAAATACATGTAGCATCCGGCAGACTGGATTCACACGCCTACAGCAGTTTTTAAACTGCTAACATTCAACTAACATTCAACTAACATTCAAGAACCCAGAGGGCTTCTTAGAAGACTGTAGGGCTCCACCCCAGAGTTTGATTTAGCACTTTTGGGGGCTCCACCCCCTCCATTTGATTTAGTATTTCTTGGGAAGACCCAATAACCTATAGTTCTAACAAGTTTGTGAGTGACGCTGATGCAACCTGAGGACTACACTCGGATAACTACTCTCCTAGACAGTGGTTTTCACCCTAGTTATGCAAGAAATAACCCGGAGAGCCAAGAAAACTAAACAGGCCAAGTCCCCACCTGGAGATTCTGATTAAATAGGGAGATGTGGATGGGACCCCCAGGATCTTTGTGGGTTTGTTTTTTTTTTCCTTCCAATTTCTGTCTCTAATGATGCATAGGTTGATACCTATCTGGATAGGAAGCTTTGGTCCTGAATAACATAAACAGCAAAAACTGGCATGCTAATATGCAAAGCAGAAAGTGCCCGCGCCTCATGGGCCTCCTTTCTGACTGATGAGTGTAGCAGAGGACTCACCCCGACACCCTCCCGATGCCTGTGATAATGCCGCCTGCCGGGACCTCTTCATTCCCATACAGCTGGTAACCTGCAAACTGGGATAATTCCAGAAATGGAGACCTTCAGGGAAAAAAAGATGTTATTTAAATTAAAGCCATTTTTTAAAAGACATATTTAAACAGATACACCAGGAAAAAGAAATTATTTTTTTTCCTTCATGGACCAGCATTATGCGTGCTGAAATCTACAAAAAGATTATTTAAGACAGAATTCAGTGCGAATACTTTGGGGATCTATATGGGCTAGCCCTACAACACAACTTGAGGAACTCATGTAAACCCATGTTGTACACATGTGTTTATGAACACAGAAAGAGAATGGGCACCTAACACTTAAGAAGCTCTTACCAAGACCTTCAGAAATCTAACTCATTTATCCTCAGAGCTACCTTCTGAGGTTGATTTTATTATGTCCCCATTAATTGAGGAGGAAACTAAAACACAGAGATGAGGTTATTTGTCGAAGGTGACAAAACTAGTGAGTTAGAACCCAGCTAGGCCAATTATTACATGCATAGTTGGGTTTTAACAATTTGACCCCAGGATCTGGTTGTTAACCACTGCCAACTATTCTACCAATTATTTAAATGTGCAAGATAGGGCCTCCCCTGGTGGCGCAGAGGTTGAGCATTGGGCTGCCCGCAGCCTCTGCAGCCCCGGTTTGATCCCCAGCCGCAGGCGAAGGTCCCACATGGTGCACAGACCTCTCCTGCTGTGCCCGCTGCTCCCCTCAGCAGTGTGTTTCATCAGTCTGCCTGCTCTGTTGCAGGACCTGGCTCTGGTGAATTCTCTCACCCTCCCACGCTTCTGACTGTACCCAGTACTTGTATAAATAAATAAATAAATCTTAAAAAAAAAAAAAGTGCAAGATACATTAAGTGAAAAGAAGAAGGGTATAAAACACCATAGTTAGTATGATTTCATTTTTCTTTAAAAAATAGATGTCTAATACACATATGCATAAAAACTATCTAGAAGGGTAGATATAGCTGTTAATAGCATTTGTCTCCAGATTGGATGTGTGTATGTGCAAGTCATTATAGCTACTCTTCATTTCCTTCTCTCCCCACTCCATCCAATCCTTCAGAAAATCCTGGTATGTTAGCTCTGTCTGATCAATATTGCCAAAACTCAACACTGTCATCATCTCCATCACTGCAACCCTAGTCCAAGACATCACCACCACCTCATCTCCTTTGAATAACTGCAAAAGCCCTCTAACTGTGCTCAGCAATTCCACCCTTACTGCCCACATTTGCTTACAATACAGCAGATAGAAAAACCCTTTCAAACAAAAGACCATAACAGTCTCTGCGAACAAGACCTTAAGAATCAGATCCCGGGCTTCCCCTGGTGGCGCAGTGGTTGAGCGCTGGGCTGTGAAACTGCCCTCAGCCTCTGCAAGCCAGTCCGATCCCTGGCCCCCGGTGAGGGTCCCACATGGCGCAACAGACCTCTCCTGCCGCGCCCGCTGCTCCCCTCAGCAGTGTACTTCATCAGTCTGCCTGTTCTGCTCCCCACTCTGGCTCTGGTGAATTCTCTCACCCTCCCGCACTTCTAACTGTACCCAGTGCTTGTATAAATAAATAAATATATCTTAAAAAAAAAAAACAGAAAAAGAATCAGATCCCATCTCCCACTGTTTACTCTGCCTTCACCACTTCTACTTCAACCACACTGGCCCCTGGTGCCTTGAGCACATCAGCCAATCTGGCACATTCCCACCTCAGGGCCTTTGCACTAGCTATTCCTGCTGCTTACACCACACTTTTCCCAGATATATGCAGGATTACCTTTCTTAACTCCATCAAATTTTTGCTCAAAAGGCCATCTCAATGAGAGCCCCCCATCATCCCATTCTAAACTCACTGAACCCTCATCCTCCCCTCCCTTCCTCTAGTTTACCTTTCTTTTTCCTATAACACCTGTCACCTTCTAACATAATAAGTTTATGGTTTATTTTCAGTCTCTTCCTGCTACAATGTGAAACGCCAGTAGGGCAAGGGCCTTTGTTTTGTTGACTAATGGATAGTAACAGCACCTAGAACAATGCTTGATACATTATAGCCACTCAATAAATATCTATTGTTGAATCTTACAATAAGAAACAATTTCATGGGGACTCCCTAGTAGTGCAAGGGGTTAAGACGCAACCTATAAAGCAATTTGCAGCCATTGCAGCATGAGTTTGAACCCCAGCCAGGGAGGTGACCCACAGGGCACAGCAGACCTCTCCTGCTGCGCCCGCTGCTTCCCTCAGCAGTGTATTTCAGTCAATCTGCCTGCTCTGTTCCCCACTCTGTCTGTGTGAATCCTCTCACACCACCCCCACACCTCTGGCATGTATCCCAGTTCTTGTATGCATAAATAAATAAATCTTTTTAAAACATTTAAAATCATTCATTTAGGAAACTAAGAGGGCACCACAGAATAGAGAGCAGTCTGAGTTAACACTTGGATATATACTAACCCTGGGTCTAGAAGCCCATCCACTCTTTGTCTGGGTAAGAGTTTGCCTCTTGACAAGTGAAGTGCTGTAGCTTTCTTACCACCTCCTATGGCAAAAAAACATGATTAGATTAGAGTGACAGGATAGAAGGTCTCCATTTAACATAAAGCCAGAAAAACATAAATTTTAGTCCAAAACAGGGTACTTCTAAAAAGTTTAATATATCCTGTGGAAAAAAAGGCTGACATTTCAGATGATTCACTAAATTTTCTAAAGTAAAGAAACAATTAAAAAAATCATCTATCCCTGATCCCACAGTTTATCATACATTTTCTGAATTCACTAGTACTCACTTAGAGGAATAACAGTGCTACAGACACTGCTTCATCACCCCCACCTTTATTAAATACCTAATACAACTAATTAGCAGTGTGTTTGCACCATGTGAAATTTGAAAATTCCTACCCTCATTTGCACCAGGTAAAAAGGCATTTTTTTTTAGAAATTAGTTCCATAAAAAACACAAGCAAAACTTATGTAAAGGTACATTAATGACCCCTAACTTTTTAAGTCTTCAAATCAAAGAGAGTTGAAGTAGCAATTTTTTTAAAAAAGATTTTTCATTTATTTATACAAGAGCTGGGGTACAGGCCAGAGGCACAAGAGGGCAAGAGGATTCACAAGAGACAGAGCGGGGAACAGAACAGGCAGACAAGCTGAAACACACAGCTGAGGGGAGCAGTGGGCGAGACAGGAGAGGTCTGCCTTGCCACGTGGGTATATCCCTGGCCTTCCGGGAATCGAACCTGTGCTGCAGAGGCTGCGGACAGCTTCACAGAACTGTGCTCAACTCCCTGTGCCCTCAGGGAGGCCCTAAATAGCAATTTTTAAAGTTCATTTTTGTTAGCATCTTGGTTCAGAGATTATTGTGTTTCATAAAGTTGTTCCAGACAAAGAAAATTAAATGGCAATAAGTGAACAGTCCACTAAGGTAACCCAATGAGGCTGCTTGATGAAATAAGCGCAGCAAACCTCACCCAGCCAACCCAGGGGTGAGGATCTTGACAATATCTATAAGTCTACTCTCAGCAAGCCAAGAGAAGAAATCAGAAACAGAGAGGTCAAATTTTACCTTAATACATTTATTTTCACTGTTGCCCAAGAATTTCATCTTCCTATACTTTATACTACTTGAAATTTTCAGCTATTTAAGTAAAACTTTATTTTTTTAGGGGAGAAAGTAAATTCATATCTATTTCAAAAGAACTTCTCTAAGTACAACCTATTTCCAAATCAGGGTTCTTTGCCTGTATCTAAGGGGTTTAGTTTTGTTTTTTCCCAAAGCAGTAGGTGGTACATTTTAAAGATTAAATCTGCCTTAAGTTTGCCAAAAATATATATATCACACATCTAATCTTTTAAAATGAAAATTCTGGACTTACATGAGAGTGTGAATTAAGTCAAATTGCTTTTTTATTTTCTCCAAACCAGAGAGAACTCCGAGTTCCCTAGTGTTCCCTAGTGACGTGGGTCAGGATTAAGGGGACAATCTCATTTACTACACTGTATCTTTTCTAAGGTGTACATATTTTGCTCACACTTGAACACCCTTGAAATCAGGAAGCATTTTACATTTATGGCATCTTTCAACCCATGTCACCAGGGGGCAGTCATGACACAGCTGTCAGCCTCTGCAAGCACAGCACAAGAGTCTTGCCACTTCAGCTGTGCTAAGCTGGTTGTTGGAATGACATGCATGGAGCTTAACTGAGTTCCATTTTATAATGTCTTCCAAAACTACACAAGTCTGATCTTTAGGTCACTAAAAGACCTCTGTATCAACCACCAAAACCATCTGTGATATTTTCCATATTGATAAAGTTTTTGTCCAGCATTAAGACTTTTTTTTTAATCTAACAAAACATAACCCTTCAATTAATTTGTGCTAAATCCCTGATAATCAGGGAAATGCAAATTAAAACCACATAGAAATACCACCTTACACCAGTAAGAATGGCACATATCAAAAAAACTAGCAACAACAAATGTTGGCGAGGATGTGGTGAAAAAGGAACTCTCCTACATTGCTGGTGGGAGTGCAAACTGGTCCAACCACTATGGAGAGCTGTCTGGAGGTTCCTCAGTCTACTAAAAATGGAGCTACCATATGACCCGGCAATTCCACTACTAGGGATCTACCCAAAGGACACAAAAACACTGATTCAAAAGAACACCTGTACCCCTATGTTTATTGCAGCACTATTTACAATAGGTAAAACCTGGAAACAACCCAAGTGCCCAAAAATAGATGACTAGATCAAGAAGATGTGGCACATATACACAATGGAATAATACTCAGCAATCAAAAAAGATGAACTCATGCTATTCACAGCAATGTGGATGGAACTAGAAGGAATTATGCTCAGTGAAATAAGCCAGAAGGAAAAAGAAAAATATTGGATGGTTTCACTTACACCAGGAATATAGGGGAAACCATTAAGACATTAGTGTAAACAAATAGTAACAGTACAAAACACAACAAAGCAAAAACGGACAATTATAAATCAGAGACATCCTGCAGGGGAGGAGGAGGGAGAGGGATCAGAGGGAGGGAGGGAGGAGCACAGGGGACTGAGGTGATGGTGCACCGGTGCCTTGGGGAAGGAAACTCTATGGGGACTACACCTGAGGGGGTGGGGGGAAGCAAATATTGTTTAAAAATGAACAATGATATAAAATTTTTTTAATTAATATTATTTTAAAAATAAAAAATAAACAATTAACTGTGTTAATCAAAGTACTTAGTTCTGGCTGTTACTAATAACACAGCAGGAGTAATCCTTTTTTCCCCTATAGAAATGACTAAAACCCTTCTCACATAATCCTACAAAGCTCCACGGTTAAAGAAAGGGACATTAAAGACAGAGACAGTGGTCTAAAGAAACCTGAAACAAAGGTAGGAGACAGAAAGAAAAGACAAAAAGGAGGGCCAGAGTCAGCTAACTTTTGTCAGCCTTTTTATTTATCACAAGTCACAAATGAAGACTTCAGGGTGAGGGGGAAGGCTGGTTGGTGAAGAAGGATTGAGCAGGACTCTGGGGGAAGGAGGGGACAGAGACGGAAGAACAGGGCAAGATTGGCCTTCACAGTTTTGTCCAGAATTCATCCTGCTATGCCATGAAAATGAATATTACACAAACATAATTTAAAAGCAATATATAAAGGATTTTGGGAAAATAGAGATAAATATAGGAAAAAGAGAAAAATCGCCCATTAATAAAATCGCCTCTGAAGATACGTTTTTGATATGTTTGGTACTTTAGCAATTCTGATCAGGCTCATCATAACTTTAACAGCCAAGTGTGTGTGTGTGTTGGTATGTTTTTGGTTTGGGGTCTTTTGTGCATCTCACAACAGGCACTTTCTTCTGATTTTTCTGTGTGAATGCTCACAGGCTAGCTTAGCAATTCTACTGATCAAGAGCCTGGAGTATTATTCCTGTTCTCATTTTTCCCCCTTGGGCCACTATAGAATTTTGAGATCCTAATTTTAAAATTCATAAAGCTTCCTAAATAATTTTCAGACAGGCAAAAAAGGTACTGTCTCAAGTTGCTTCACCCTTATTTTTGAAGAGACCTTTAAAGTCATATCTTCTAAAGTAAATTATTGTATATATACCAATAGTGGCACAACAGAATATTATGTAAACATATAATATATAAGATATATACTATACATTAATATTTTACATTTCTTTCTAAGAAGCATTTTCTTTTTTTTTTTTACTTCTAATACATTACCTTCCAAGCAAATCAATGTCTTTTATGTCTATAGCTTAAAAAAAAAAAAAAATGGAAATAATGACAATTTATTAAGTTGTCAGGAAATCTAATTTAATAACAATAAACCATATCGAAACTATTTCCAAGTTATATAACACAGCAGAAAAATGTATAATAATGCAAAATTGAGTACATTGTATGAATATGACTAATCAAATGAAAATGTTTTAGTTGCTTTAGATGGAACAGTCATTTCAGTGTGATGATGTGGATGAAATAAAACCTTAGAAACAGTAGTTAAAAATTGATGAATTTGAATTATTTTCTTTCCCTCCCGGACCCCCCAATAGTGGCAATGCTACATGTAGAGGGAAAACTGGTCAAGAAATTAACAAAAATCTACATACCAGCAATGCACCATCTTGAAGAGTCAAAAGCTTAGTGCTGCTAGTTTTTCCTAAAACCAATCGTTTCCATAAAGGGACATCTTAACTAAAAAATGTAAACTGTAAAATAAACACGTTTACCTAGTTTTATAGTCTGTGTTCGCTCATGGAGTTGATTCACTAGTGCTTTCATCTGTTCATAGTTTTCCTAAAACAAATAAAGAAAAAGATGGAGCATAATATTAGAAAGAGATTATCTTTTTGTTTTTATCAAAATAAGGGTTAAGGAGAACATCATTACGTGCCAACACTACATGGTCTCCACACTGAGCCGCATGTGACCTTCCACACAAGGCAAAGGAATTTACATCAGGTCAGCCCATCACTGTGCATGTGCCACCTCAGGTTTAACACTGTTAGAGCAGAAGGATGGACTTTGGTTGACTGCTGAGTGAGTGAGGAAATACCAAGCAGTTCTGTTAGACAATTCTAACCTGAAACAAGTCACTAATTCCTTAAATCCAGCTACACTGCTTCCACGCAAAGTAGAAGGACTGGAGGATGGAAACTTAACACATTAACTGTTTGGAAACCATTGAGACAGTGCATGCCAATCAGGCATACTTGACTGACCAGCCCTGCCAGATCCAGAGTGGGAGCTATTTACAGAAAGTGCACCTCACAGTGGGCACTTTCTTCTACGATTTTTCTGTGTGAATGCTCACAGGCTTGCTTAGCAATTCTACTGATCAGGAGCTTGTAATATTATTCCTGTTCTAGCTATTTACCTGGTAAATTGGAATTCAAAGGGAAGCATTGTCTCTCAGAAAAAAAATGTTTAACTTTGATAAATACATTAGTGTCCTAAAACATATGTGAAACATTTCAGTTGTCTGTATGTAAATTTTGCCAATTTTGATGATTGCTTGTTAATATTGTTAAGATAAAAATTGAACAAATTTCCTTATGTATTATGGTATTAGCTTTTATTTTTGCTTATTTCAAAGTCTGACATCTGCAGAAATTGTTTCTGAAGAAATTCATGGGAGAGGACCTCCCTGGTGGCACAGGGGTTAAAGTCTAAGTGCTATCAAGCTATCACCAGCCACTGCAGCAAGAGTTCAATCCCCAGCCAGGGAGCTAACCCACAAGGCACAGTAGACCTCTCCTGTCTTGCCCACTGCTCCCCTCAGCAGTGTATTTCAGTTGATCTGCCTGTTCTGCTCCCCACTCTGTCTCTGGTGAATCTTCTCACCCCCTACCTCTGGCCTACACCCCAGTTTTCCATGCAAAAATAAATAAATAAATAAATAAATAAATAAATAAATAAAAATAAATAAATCTTTTAAAAAAGAAAAGAAATTAACGGGAGAAAGACCTCAACTCATTCCACCGATCTGCCGATCAGGAATCCCAAAATGGCGCTCTGAGAGCTGGCCGCAAGCCAGTAGCCGTGAAGCAAGGAGGCGAGCGATAGCGAGCCCCCCAAGGCCCACGTGTTTGGTTTTTATACCCAACCTGGCTGCCCAACTCCACCCTCAGGTCCCAGCCACCCTCCCTTGGTGGTGATGGGATTTGTCTTTCCCAATGTCTTGATGGCTTTAGTCTGGAGTGGGGGTGGGGTCCACAAAGCCTGTATGGGATTAGTTCAGGACATCATTTCCCCCTAACACTTGCGCCACCAGGGAGGCCCTGTTTCTTAAATCTTTTCTAAAATATAATTTTAGAATTATCTTAAAATATCCCCAAATATTTTTTTTGTCTTTAAACGTCCCACAAATTTTTCCCATGGTGTTAAAAGCATCCCCACAACGTCCATTAGCAAGTTCTTGCTTGCCTGTAAATCTACAAGTTAATGGGATTCTGGTATGCCATTCGTTTTTTTGTTTCTCCCCCACCTCATCAAATTTTTCCTGAGCTCCCTTCCCCCATCCACATTCTATCTCCTGGGTCTTCTGCCAACTGTGCAAACCACTCCAACATTCAGAGCTGATGAGAAAACAGTTCATACACATGCAGAGATTTACCCAAACACAAAAGTAGAGTCACTGCAGCCAAAGACATTACCCAATTTAGAACAACATCAACCAAAGCTAAAGCTAATTGTATAAGGGATCTTTACCTTACCTAAGCCAGTTTCCCAGTTAAGAAACAAGGGAAACTGCCACTGCCAAGTGTTTCTGAAGCATATGTTGGTAAGAGAAGTGAAAGCAGGCAGTACAGATTACTGTTCTAACTCGAGAGACCAGGAAAACTGAGAAGAGAAAAAATGGACAATCCACAGGGGCCCAAAAAATAGAGTCTGTAGGTGCAATCTCCCATCCAAAGCAGGGTTTTACCTTTTCTTCCCTCCCCCACTTTTTAAGATTTATTTATTTATTTGTACAAGAACGGGGGTACAGGCCAGACACATGGGAGGGTGAGAGGACTCACCAGAGACAGAGTGGGGAACAGAACAGGCAGACTAGTGAAATACACTGCTGAGGGGAGCAGCGGGCGAGACAGGAGAGGTCTGCCGCGCCATGTGGGACCCTGGCCTGCCGGCTGGCCCACTCACCAAGACCAAAACAGTGCTGCAGAGGCTGCTGACAGCTTCACAGCATGGCGCTCAATCGCCTGCACCACCAGGGAGGCTCTCTTTTCTTCCCCTTTCATAGATTCGTTTGCATCAGAGTTTACTGCTTGTAGCCTGAGGGCCCAGGAGATAAGGAGGCAGTGAAATATTTTAACCCCAAAGAAACTAAGGAGACACACCCACTCTCTCTCCATACTATTATCATCTGTGGCATACACCAGCCCTGCAGTGAAAAGTCATAACTATCCCAAAGTCAACAGGTAATATAAGCAAAAAATTAGTATATTCAGATTTTTATTTCAAAGAACAACCCAGAAAAATGCAATTCAATGCAAAAGCCATAACCAAATGTATCTCTCATCTGCCAACTTCATGCCTGGGTCCTTTCCTATAACCCCCTCCCCTTTTTTTTTAAATTTTTTTTTTTAAAGATTTATTTATTTATTTATTTATTTATTCACTCACTGGGTACAGTCAGAAGCGCAGGAGGGTGAGAGAATTCACCAGAGCCAGAGCGGGGAGCAGAGCAGGCAGAAGTGTTATAGGACAGGGAGAGGGGCAGCCCAAACCCCGCAAACCTGCCTATTCTAAATGGGTTCTGCCATCCGCCGCATCAACACAAAAACATAGTAGACTTTAATGGGAAGGAACTTTAATAAAACTAGGAAACAATACAGGTAAGGCAAAGAGTCTAGTTTCTAAATGAAGCACCCAAAGTTACCCGTCCCCTCGTGGGTAAAACTCCATCCATATGGGATCGGCCCAGAGCAAGGCCCCAAATGGGGCTGACTAACCACGGATGGCTCTGTCCTAAATCATGTTGGGCGCCAAATCTGTTATAGGACAGGGAGAGGGGCAGCCCAAACCCCACAAACCTGCCTATTCTAAATGGGTTCTGCCATCCGCCGCATCAACACAAAAACATAAGAGACTTTAATGAAAAGAAACTTTAATAAAACTAAAAAACAATACAGGTAAGGCAAAAAGTCTAGTTTCTAAATAAAGCACCCAAAGTTATCCGTCCCCTCGTGGGTAAAACTCCATCCATATGGAATCGGCCCAAAACAAGACCCCAAAGCCTGGCACAAGTCTAAAGCATCTTCCAGTGGGGACCCACAGAAAAGGGTCAGAAACAACCAGACAAGCCCAAAAGGAAAAGAGCAAAATCAACATCAAGATAAAAGCTGCCATTGTCACCTCCCCACGGGTCTCACCCACATTTGTGTCACCCAGTCCACGACCAAAAGACAAGCGCAGTTTCTTCACGTGTCTCTAGGCTCCATGCGCCTCTTCTAGGTCTCCTGGCTCCATCCTACTTCCTTCCTCAGTCTCTTCTGCAGCTTCTCCTCTTCCTGCTCAGCTCCACCCTCTCTTGGGTGGGGCAGGGAACCTCCCCCTTTCCTGCGGACCACCCTGTTGCAGAAGGACCGAAGTACACTGCTGAGGGGAGCAGCGGGCGCCATGTGGGACCCTCCTCTGGTGGCCGGGGAGCAGCCGGCGATCCAACCGGCACTGCAGAGGCTGCAGGCAGCTTCGTAACCCAGCGCTCAACCGCTGCGAAACCAGGGAGGCCCTATAACCCCTTTTTTATTTTTATTTTTTTTAAAGATTTATTTTATTAATTTTTGCACAAAAGAACTGGGGTATAGGCCAGAGGTATGGGGTGGGGGGGGGTGAGAAGATTCACCAGAAACAGAGTGGGAGCAGAACAGGCAGATCTACTGAAATACACCGCTGAGGGGAGCAGTGGGTGATAGGAGAGGTCTGCTGCACCATGTGGGTCAGCTCCCTGACCAGGGATTGAACCCATGTCGCAGTTGCTGGTGATAACTTGATAGAGCTGAGACTTTAACCCCTGTGCTACCAGGGAGGTCCTAAATCCCCCTTTTTAATTAATGGTATCCACTTAATTAAAGTGGTCCTCATATTTGCATTGTTGATAACAACCCCAGTGGGCTTGATGGCAGCCCACTATCCACTTAAATGCCCTGTCCAAGTTATAAATTCAGTTATCTTATCGATTAACTCTATAATCTTAGTTTCCCAGGTATCCCTCCTCTAGTTCTATAAACACTAACATCCATCATTTCAAGATGTTTCCAGTGTCACCTAACTCTAACCTCTTCCCTAAACAATCCATCTTTCCACTGCAGTGGCAATGAAGATTCTACCAAGTCCATAGGATCATGCCACTACTCTACTTAAATAACTATCTTAGAAGACAGCCTATAAAATGAAATCTTAACAGGGCTTCCACATGTAAGGCCCCAAAATCAATCAATCATGAATTCCACCTCTGGCTATGACTTCCAAGCCCTCACACCCACTATACACTTTCATAACTCACAATACCTATGTTCTTATTAACTGCTTTGGTTTGTGCAGTCTTGCTTCATTTAACCTGATTATTCTTACCCCACCATCAAATCCAAATCACTCATTACTTCCTATTTGCAATTTTCTCTAAACTACCTTTTCAAGTTCTAGACATCACTTATCACACTTCACTATGGTTATCTGCTTTCTCATCCATCTTCCTCACAAAAATTTATGAGCTCCATTTCTACACATACATATGAAATACCCTAGACCACAGTTCACCACTTAATGTTTCTGAATTACACATTCTCTCCTGACCCCAAGAAATGGAAAAACATTCTGTCTCAGTATATTGATTTTCATTCTATTGTCTTGTTTACCCAAAGGCAAGAATACCTTCAACTGCCCTACAGTTATTTGCACAATTTATGTGTTCTCTGCGTAAGCTTAGCAACCATGGGACACACTGAATTTTCCAGTTCTGATATTTCACAAGCTCCAAGTTGTTTCTTTGCTTGACCTTGTGAAACCTCCCAATTCCAAGAAAGTCCATTCAAAGGTACTGTGGGATATCATTTTCTATTAATATAAGCAATTATTTATCTAGCCTGGTAAGCACAACCCAGACTTAGCTGTGTTAGGCCAATGGCTCCCAAAGCCGGCTGCCATCAAGCCCACTGAGGTCGTTATTAACAATGCAAATACGAGGACCTCCCTCCAGAGACTCAGAAGGTCAGGGATCAGGGGTGGGCTCAAAGCAGTCGTACACTCAACAAGTTCCCCAGGTGACAATTTGTTAAGCCAGGTTTTGAGAACCACTGATTTCAAAGCTTCGACGTACAGCACCAGTGCTATAAGTAAAGTAAAATGTTTTGCTTTGGACTTGCTTTCTTTTCAAACTTCTCACACTAGTGTGTCCCAAAATCATCCCGAGAAAATCTGAACAACCATCAGCTTCCGAGTCCAGCCAGCGCCTCGACCCCTCCTTCTGGCAGTGGGGGGACAGGATAAGGAGGAATCGGACTCGGGTCGAGCGCTCCAGCCCGGCCGCCAACCCAGCCTACCTGATAGACGGCAGATGCCGCGTCCGGCTGGGTGCCCAGGGTGGCCACCGCGTCCCCGTGATAGCAGCGCGGTCCGGGAGCAGCTGCGCGGGGGCACGGCCGCAGGGCCAGCCTCAGGGCGGTCCACATGGCAGTGGGCACAGGACAAGGGAGAAGAGCTAGAGAGCTGCTCGCGCGGGCCCAAGCCAGCTTTTCCCCTCTGGGGCCCCGCCTCGGGCTGCAGCCTCGCCGCCGTCCTCGCAACCAAACCCTGCCTGATCCTCCCGAACTGTCAGGCCCGCCCTGCGCCGGCCCGTGCGCGCCACCCGCGATTGGCCTCGCCGGGCCCCACGCCCTCCCGGAGCAGCCAATAAGGGGCGGAGGCGCAGCCCCGCGAGACTCCGTCCCGCCGCGAGCGCAGGAGCGCCCGGGCCCGGGACAGCCCGACCCTGCGGACCGCCCGCCCCGCCGCCTGAGGGCCCGAGCTGGCGGCTGCGGCTGCGGTTCGTTATAATCCGTATCAGTTCGTTTTTAGTGTATTTTCTTCTTTCTCTGCGAAGAGAGTATCCTGGGACTTCACAAACGTATTCTTCTATGCGAGCTGGAAACTGAGCAAGCACTAAGCTGCCACAAGAAATAAAACTCCTTGATGGGGGCGGGGAATCCTAATGTTATCTCATTTTAATAAAGGTAGTAATAAAGGAAATAACCCCTTAGAGGAGATACATATTTATTTAAGAAATGGTTGAAAGGGGTTGGAAAAGGGTGCAGGCTTATATGAAGGGTGGTGTTGGGCAGAGTGTCAGGGTCTGCAAGTGTGTCAACAAGAGGGCCCGCCCCACAGGGCTTTTTTCCCCTAAAGCAGGACCACAGACTCCAGGGAGATGTCCAGGGCGGGAAAGAATGAGTTTAATGGCAGATTGTCAATTTTAAGCGGAGGCATTTTGTAGAATTGCTGGAGGGTGTGGAAAATCATACAGGCTTAAAAAAACAAAGCTGAAAGTGAAAAAATTAACTCCCAAGGAAAGTTTTACCAGAAAAGAACAGTTATAATAGTGCATTATGTGGGCTGGACTCACTGCCGGCCTAGGGGCTAAGGCTCAGTGCTAACATTAGGAAGGCCTGAGTTTGATCTCTGGCCAGGAAGCTAACCCACATTGGGAGAGCAGACCTCTCCTGTCTTTCCCGCTGCTCCCCTTACCGGTGTATTTCAATAAATCTACATGTTCTGCTCCCCACTCTTGTCTCTGGTGAATTCTTTCAATGCCCCCTCCCCCCCACACACACCTCTGGCCTACACCCCATTTCTTCTACGCAAAAATAAAATCTTTAAAAAAAATAAATAGTACATTTTGTGGAACAACAGTGAATATAATGCTGAATCTGGATGAATACCGAATACGGACTAGCCCTGAATTGTGATTAACATACTGAGAGTAAGTGGGAGGTAAGCAGAGAGAGCTGTAAGAAAGCTAAAATTGTTATGTACCATGACAAAATCAATGACAACGTCTAACATTTCTAATAAGAATAGAATCAAGAAATACGAAATACCAAAAGGCTTGCTTGAACTTTCCTAGCAAATTGACTTATGCCATGTGTAATACTTAGAGATGTTAGCACAGTGCCTAGCATATTAAATGGTAGTTCCTGATTTTGAAAAAGGACAGGTTTTTAAAAATCTAGGCAGGGGAAAACGTGAGTTAAAAAAGTCAGAGTGAGTTTAGTACACAGAACTTTTATGCATATTAAGTCTTTCACCTTACTATGGTTGGCCCTAAATTTAGCTTTACATTACAAGAGAAAACAACACAAGGATTCACAAAGCCCATATTAAAAAAAAAAAAAAAAAAAAATCAAGCCAGTTGAACAGCAGCCCAATTACCCCAGGCACTAAGGTCAAAGAAAATATCTCCTAAATAGTCTTGTAAGGATATTGTTCTCAGAAGGATATTGGATGATATATTAAAGTCTACATTATAGTAAAAGTAATTTCTTTAGGCTTTTGTGCTTTTTCATATAATGTCCCTAAATAGAAGCTAACAAAACAATGCAGCCCATTAATGGCTTTGATGGTTTGACAAATTTCAAGACAAAAATTTGGTCTATCTGGAGAAATGGCTAGACTATGTATCTTTAGGAAAATTTACACAAACACTTTTCTCAGCTAAATTTTATTACCAATTAAGAGTTTACCAAGTTGGGCCTTCTGTAGCCCAGGGCTTAAAGTCTGGGAGCTATCAAGCTATCGCCAGCCACTGTGGCATGAGTTCGATCCCTAACCAGAGAGCTAACCCATGCAGTTCAACAGACCACTCCTGTATCACCCACTGCTCCCCTCAGCAGTCAATCTCATTGGATCCATCTGTTCTGCTCCTCACTGTCTCTAGTAAATCATCTCACCCACCATGCCTGTGGCTTACATCCCAGTTCTAGTATGCATAAATAAATAAATAAAATATTTTAAAGTAAATCTAAAAAAAAAAAAGACTTTGCCACTATTGACTTCAGAAGTCTGTACAGGTATGTAATATATCCAGGAATAACTTTTTCCACTTGTCTCTTTACAGATAAAGTGGCAAGAAAAAAAGTAAAAGAGATTGGATTCATATAATTATAAATTCATTACATAAGCAGTAAATAAATAAAAGTGATTCTTCACATGTGCTAGATGTGGAGGGAAAGTCTATCCTTTATTCTGTAAGATCAAGAAAATACATTAACTGCATGCACGTAAGAAAAAAGATTAATTTGTCCAGATATACTCTATTTCTAGGGATGGAAGAAACTAAGTATAAAATGTAGTGGTAAAACTGACTACCTTTAGTTAATGAAATAATATATTTAGTCATCTGAAAAGAACACAAGAGAAGTAGTATAAAATAACCTTTATTTACGTAATCTATATTTATAGAACATAACTGCTTTCTTTAGAACAAGAAAATTTACAAATGACAGATACTGCTTTTTGTCTGGCTTCTTTAAGCAAGATAGTATATACATGGTCACATCTATTTCAAATAAAATGGTGGTAAACAATGATCATTAACAGCAATTAGGCTTTTAAACCATCACACTAGCCACTTATTAAGAAATAAGTGTTCAGGAGAAAGTTCAAGAAAAAATAAAGACCTTTAATCATAGCTCCTTAAGAATTATAAAATACAAATTCTTCACAACATCTTTACATGAATTTACATGAATTCTTTAGATGAGTAAATCTTACCACCTTGTAAGGGAAATACACTGAGTAAGTTTCTCTTTTTCCTAGATTTTAAGAATATAACAGTAGGATAATTTACCTGGCTGGCTTGCTTCTCTAGTACAATGAATGCACAAAGATAAAATTATTCTTTATACAGTAAGAAGTTACATCTTCCATAAAATTAATTCATTACAGATAAACATGAGACAGATGTTAGTAAAGTTAAAAAAATAAATATTACAGAGATGATAAAATAATGATTTGATTTGGCAATCTAACACCCCAACTAACATTAAAAGAAAGAAATACTGTCAGAATGATTTTTTTTAGTTTACAAAAGCAAGGAATAAAATAGCAATGTGATTTGCTACCATGATTTTGTGACATATTAATCATGAAATAAATGAATATCCAAGAGGATTTCCATTCACTTACAGATGCTCCTTTATGACTTTTAAAATATAAACTTCACTGTAAGGCAATGAATAAGAAATGCTCTAATATCAATTTTTAATAAATTAAGATCACTATTGTACTTGCTGACCCATATCCTATTTTATTAATGAGCTTGAAAAGCTGGCCACCATTTATTCAACATACAAAACAATTATCTAGACATCAAAATACTTTCCCAATCAAAATACTGGCAGTTTCATAATGTGATCAACACCATTTTGATTATCAGGCATAACATGTAAATTCAATGATAAATATCTCTTGACAAGGATATCAGCACCTTAAGGCAGGAAAAGTACTGTTTAATTTGGGGGTCAAACTGAAAGTCCACCCAATCATGTCTATCATTTTAAAAGTATTGGCTGTGGCTGATTTCACATTGAAATGAAAGAGGTGAGAAGTTGACACAGAAACCACCTGGCCCACAAACTCAAAAATATTTTGTAGAAAATGGTTCTGATTCCTGGTCTAATATATATTATCAACCCAGGAAGTTTTTCAAATAAAACAATAAATCTGCTCTTTAAGAAGTTTAATTATAGAAACACCAAAGATTTGCTTGGATGGATAAAAGAAATTACATATATAAATCTCAAAATTAAAAACAATCCTTAAATTCATAATGATGATAATCACTGACTTTATTAATAAAGTCTTAACATTATTTTACTTTATTTTTAACATCAGAATTATGTTCTGCGCTTAAAGACCTAACTGTTCCCCAAGCAGAGCTTAATGGGGGTTGGAGGGGGAGGAACTATCAAGAAATTGGTTTTTAAAATAGGAATGTGTGTTTATAGGTAAAGGAGATTGCCTTTTTTCTGGAAATTTGCCTCATAATGAAGTTAGGATTCCCCCCCCCCAAACAAATCCTGAGATTATCCAAGAAATAAGAAAAGCAAAAAAATTCACAGTACAAAGTCAATGAATTAAACTATGAGAAAGAAATTTTCAAAACATATACACTATCCAAACACAGTTATGTCACTTTAAATATCTTTAAAATTAAATAGGGAAAGGAGACAAGCAAATTTATTAATGCCTTCCTTACCCACAATCTGAGGGGTGAAAATAACTAAAACTGACTATCCTTTTAAATTAAAAATTTAAAAATAAATAAACTTTTCGATGTTTTATCTTTATAAATAATAAGTTTAAATACCTGTTCTTCAATTAGGACTAATATTACATGTACATGAAATAGAAAAATACATATTTTTTCAGTCAGCAAATAGTTGATAATAGAAAAGCTTTTAACATTTACCATACTAAAGTGAAGTTTCACAATTTGCTTACATATATTTAGAAGCAACTGAAAAGGCCTTCACCATCAAAAAAACCAAAACAAAACAAAAACAAAACCCAAACAGAAAAATTTCTTACAAAAGAACTTTCAATTAAATGTTAAACACAATCCACCTCCAAATACTTCAGCACTATGATTAGACAGAGACATTTATACAAGACATTCCAAAATGTCCATCTGTGCTCAGCACAGGAAGAGTGAAAATGTAAACAAGAGTGGTTATTTCTGAGAAAGTAGTCTTAATTGCTTGCTGTTTCCAAACGCTGAATCTATGAGAATGAAAGAAACCTCAACGTTTTCCATTGATTATAA